GTACCTCTGTTTTTCAGTTGGTATAACCTCTAAGATGTCGAGCACAATTATCGTGTTTGAACACCTTTTTCATGCTACAGTAAGCAGTCTAAATTTACTTTTCTGAATAGTATTGTTCTACCCAAGGCCACCTGTGTGTTGTAGCCCCGGCTGTGAAAAAAATTAACAGATCTTTCCATGAAAGTTTCTAACCATGAGCACAATCAATTTATAGGAGGTTAGTGCTTTCATGTAGTTTTTGAGAGTTACAAATGTATGAAACTGGGGCATTTGAACTGGATATGTGGGGTCAAATTTGGGTCAACTAATTCTAAAGGTTAAAGGTTGTGAACTGGCCTAGTGAGTAGTAGTCAAGCTAGATTTTCTACTTTTGTAACTTTAGACAGAGCCTGCTTCAAGATGTGCCTAAGTAATATTTCTTCTATTCTTTAGTATATGAAAGTGGAAAAAAAACCCTCAAAGGAGCAATTGACTATGGCCTATACACGATGTACATGGCCTATGCATGATGCAAATTTTATATGTACATGTACATTTTGTAACAGATTGTTCAGTGTTATATACTTTAGGCAACTGCCACTGTGCCACGTGCCTGTGAATTCAAAGCTGGTCTGTTACACCAAAGGGCGGTTATACTGGCTAAATATATACATTTGTATATATATATACAGAATATAGAATACAGAATGTTCTTGTACTACTATTTCCCACTCTTGTAACACTTTCAAAAGTTTCATGCCGAATGAAAGCTTGTAATTGCATTTACACACATAATAGCCTAACCTTACTAGTTCTGCCCTGTACTGACCTAATTCAGGCCTCAAAATTCATTTTTGGGAAATGCATGGTACACAGGTGCAGCAAAAGCCCAGTCACACAGTCAGACCCTTCCCCTGAACACCAGACAACCAAGGTTAGCTGGTGCAGTCTGGCCAGATTTTAGACCATAAATAGAGTCAAATTTGAGTTGAAGTTGGAGTCAGATTTCAAAGTCAACCATGCCTGACCTACATGTACTTCTGAACACCAGCCAATTGCAACCATGATGGGCGAACCTCCTGTCCACACCCGAAAGTTTGAAACATTTTGAAACATTTGTCTGGTGCAGCAGAACAGTAGCCGACCTTGCCTAACACCTGCAGTCAACCCAGCTCAAGACCCACTCCTATTCCTAACCATGGAGAGTTAGGCAACTTGTTTCAGGGGGCCATATTCAGCTATGTGTGACAGGGGCTTAACCCATACGCACTTTTAAGCTTTAAACTTTGTGACAGTCTGACTTGATGAGTGTTGGCATGGACACTTGCTAAACTGGTGGTTGCTCCTTTCTGGAAGGCATGTCCCAAGTGAGGTCTGACCTCAAGAGAACTTACTAACACAATTTACTCTGCTGTCAATCTACATGTATTTCACTAGGACTACTTACTGGTAATATTGTATTGGCAAGGCTTTCAGATTTTGAAACTTGCAAATACATACATGTAGTAGTACTGTAACATGGATATGAAATACGGTAAATTACTTTATATTCGCAGAAGTTTTATATTCATGGTTTCATAAATCATATCTCACGTGTACATCTTATTCTACAGATTGTGACCTTGAGAATAAATGTTTTGTATGACGTGACCTTGAGTATAACATACGTTTATATGTTGTGACCTTGAGCAGAATTTGTATTTTGTAAATTGTGACCTTGAGTTATAATAACTTATATTTTGTATGACAAATGACAACAAAACCATGGCACATGTACACAGTAAATCATAAAATGTTTGCAGAGTATTTATTTTTACAGTGACCTCTACACCATAAATTCACGACACCACAAATACCCCTTTCTACAGTAGTACATAAGCATTAATTTTTTATGGAGATGTTTTAACCACCCGTAAAACACTGAAAACCTAAATTTTCCCCTCCTACTGCAAAATTTATTCCCTGCCAAAAATAAAGCATTTACAGTACATGAAAACCTGTTGGGCAGACTAATTAGTGTTAAATCGTTAGGAATAAAGTGAACCAAATGTCAAACTGCAAGAAAAGTGTGTGTGCTGAACACATGAATTAAGTGTCAGGGTGCCAATTTGGAGACAAACACTGAAAACAACATCTTTTCTTCGGAAGGCGGACAGGTTTTCTGCATGTGAAAAATTTGTGTGGAAAACTTGCATGTGAAAAATTTGTGCCGAAAAAAATACTACATAAATATGTCAGAAAATGTGGAGTACTAGATCTAAATTCTTTGGCAGAAAAATTTGACCATGTGATAAAATTTTCCATCTACCGACACTACTTTAATATCTGCTTGGTTAAATCGTAGGAGACAATAGAAAAGAGAGAGATCAGATAGGCAGTGTTTACACACAGGAAAAACAAACAAACAAAGAGGAGAGGCAAACAGTTAAACCACAGTAAAAGTTTCCTAGTGCAGATACGATCAACATGTCTAACTACTGGTAAATACAGGTAAATCTAAATGTGGCTTTGTTTGAGTCGACCAGTCATCAGATACTAGTAAGTATTATATTTCTTCAGACCCTGCCCCCCAAAAAAAGAAGTCAAACCCATCAATAATGTACATAAAACACCAGATTCTGATAGATGTATAAACTACAAGGTAGCTTTTTTTAACCTTTCTTCATACTGGAAATACCACCTGCATATGCAAATTACATGTTTAGTGCAGGTAAAATTTGAGCTGTACAATGTACTGAGTATTTCTGATGTCTACCTGCACCCAACCTGCACTGGACCAAACCCTTCCCTTGTTTCTGGGTGAAACCAATAACTTATTGAACACCCCTCGTACATGTAAGGAACATGTACATAACATACATGTATGTTTACATGGTGTGATGTAAATAAGCTATACTTAGTATTTGTTTAACAGTATCAGTTTGAATTCACGTTTCCCATAACAAACTAACATGATATAGAAGATGGACAATCATCACACAAGCTACTTAATAATAAAAAATGGATAATCTCAATTAGCGCTGTGTACCGAAACAAATTTTAGATATAGGTACGGAGGTTTTGTGCCCCGAAAATCTTAGAATCTTAAAATTTTAAGCTTAGTTCAGTAAAAAAAGGCTTTTTTTCAATGACTTACCAAAGAGATAAAACTATAACGAACTTTTTTTTCATAGTCGTGGTACTAGGAGAGTAAATTCTAAAGAAGATTTTCACAGCGTTTCGAATTTGCAAGGGTCACAACAAATATTGAAACAGTTTGCGAAAGTTTCATGGTTCACAGTAACTGTAGCAGTTATTCTTGGTAAATCATTATATTGAGCCTGGAAGCTATCCAAGACTCTGTAGTATTTACTTACACTGTAACATGTTGTTTAATGTTATCAGTGGCCTTTGTACAATTACATGTACATGACTGTACATTTAGTTGTAGATCAGAATAGTTCTAGGAGCCAGTGTCCGTCTTTCTGTCATTTCATGGAATTTTACTACTCATGACGGACAAAAATTTTTCCCAATCCGTCATCGTAATCAAAGTATAGTACAGTAACATACATACTGATACATTAAATTTAGATACTAGAAATTTGATTTTCAGATTATACATATGTACTGCAATTGTGCTTCCATCCCAAACTTATCTCCCGAAATTCCCCAACACACAAAAAACAGCAGAAAGCTATTACCAGTATTCAACATCATAAATGATGACAATGCTGTCATCATAAATAATAAATCAGCACTTAGTTCTGCTAACTGCACAAACATGTTTGAATCTTTGATCAACACTAAATTTATTTACTTCTTCAGTAACGTAATTTTGCAGTAGAAAAAGAGGATTTTTGTGGTATTTCAAAGGCATCCAATGCAAATTCGGGACGTTGAAATGCATTTTCAAAGTCAATTTTCTTTAAATTCTTGTCATTCTTTTAATGTAGTAAGTTGAATCAACCCTATCCCATAGCATACTGATATCTGTGAGGCAAAACATGTGAAGGTGCTAATGGAAAACTGTTGTTTGTTTTGTATTGTAAGCTGGTTCTAGCTACTACATATAATATTTATGGGTGGTACCCAAAACAAAAATAAAAAGACTCCTCAGATGGCTTGTTTTGGACTATTTCAAAATGCTTCAAGTATAAAATGACGACAAAAATATGCTAAGAAATGGCAGTAAATGTCAATATCAGACAGATTTCCTCATCTAGAATATTTTTTGTTTGTTTTGCCACTCTGAAATTGTACAATTGGATGGCTTTTAGTTCCCAGTTGAACAAATCTATTGTATCGTACAGTTTAATACTATTGTAATACTGTACAACTGCATATTCACAGAGGCGTAAATCCATGGTTGAGAGGACACCACGAAAACATTTCTAGATTTTACGGCATTTTTTTATGAAACTGTCAGTTCGTTTGCTCTTGATAAAATGAGAAAATAGTTCCAACAAGAAAAAAATAAAACATAACACTAGTATTATATCCTACAAAGTCCTACAATGTTTAAAGAAATGTACAAAATGATGTTGCTTTTGGTAACAACATTCTTTGATATCTTGATTTTGTGAAATTCCAAGAACTGATGTGAAAATGTAAACACACCAAATCTCTTATCAATGTGTCAGGGGAAATTATGCAGAATTTTTTTGATAAAAATCTATAAAATTCCCTTCAAATTCCCAACAAAACCCCTCCAAGTTACCCATAACAAACACAGCCTGGACCGTAGAAATTGCCACTTGTTGTTATGTAAACATGTCTAAAATCGTTTAAAACTCACTATTCAAGAAAGATACGATCCAAACAGATACGTAGACCAGATAAACACATGTTTATCTCTAAAAGACCCCTACTGGTAAGTACAACAGTTCAAGTAAACACGAAAACAATTCGCGTTTGAATTTTTCATGAATCAAGTTCACACCATGCCCCCCTCCCCACGTCGACATAAAACAACGGCGTACCCTTACATACTAACATGTTGAACTCAGTAAATATTGTATAAGGAAGAAATAATTCCTTACCTAGAGGTTGAGGGGGGTAGGCTGGCCCTCCGGTCGGCTGCATCTCGAATCCTATCGGGGGCGGGTGGGCCGCGCTCGGGTCTCCGGGCCCGATGTACCCGCCGTACCCACTCGCCATGGCTTGCTCCTCGGGACTAACTCTATTCGGTACGGAAGAATAAAACTGCATCCACCGCACGGGGCCTTATCCCCGCAAAGCTACTGAAGGGTTAAGGTACAAACACTTCTAAGGAACGCCCTAGAAAAACACAGAGTCTTGGTGTGTTACTACGATCGATAAAACGGATGTCTCTCTTCCCTCTGATGTTTTCAATATGGCCGAATATGCTAATTAGAAGGGCGTGGTCGGAGATGTGGGGGTAAAGGTCACGGGACGGCTCACTGCACGTTTTAGCGTGGGCGGGGCTGTATTTGGTTGCCATGGTAACTGGGCGTGGTTATTTTATCATATCCTGTACATCACGAGTGTATTGTGTAATAGGTTAAACTTTTTTCCAACACGAAAATTTGACATTTTTCTTTATGATGACATACCGACAAAGAAAAGCTTGTCAAGCTTTGTTTGTCAGAAAACACTATTTTTCCGTCCAAATATCTGCTTGGAGATAAAATGTTTTAGGCTATAAAGTCAGGAGGTTTCTATATACAAATATTGTATAACCCCCTGAACTAAACGCCAGACATATGTTTAAGTTTTAGGGTTACATCTGGGTTCCAAGTTGAAATACATGGTAACAGATCCAGTGTCCAGTTTCAATGTATGTGCAAATAGTCAGCGGGAAAACACTTACCAAGAGGTCAAGCCCACTTGACCCACGCCAGGACAGTCCGTCCAGCGGTGTAGCACGTTGGAACGGTCACTTCTGAGTTCTCTAGATCATCCTACTTGTCCTGAAACTATTCTAAGGGCGTCGTACGGTCGTCGCACGATCAATCTCAAACTGAAAGCATTCTTGAGATAGCCATGCATGTGTCCTGCAGTTCAGAACACTCGCTACAGAAAGGTTGGATCTTTGTCGGCGGCTGTCCCTGTTCCTGGTGCCACAGCCTGCTTGAAGATATATTCTACGTCATCAAAATCGTACGACGACCTCACGATTGTGACCCGATTAAGGAATATTACGACCTTCGCGATGGCTTGAGAGATTGTGATGTTCTTGAAGGATGATAGCTTTAAGAGTAGAGACAGGGTAGCCACTAGGCTAGCCATGTACCCGTCTTAATCAAATCATGGTTGGAAGGAAGGAGGAAAAATCGAACACAATCTTATTTTCCACAGAAAGACAACAGGCAGTACAGACCGTCTAGAATCAATACAAGATAGGAGAAAAGAACATTTGGAATTATTTCATCATTGAGGCAACCTGGATATTTTTGGAACAAATTGAATTTAGGGCAAGTTAAGAGTCGTAGCTTCATATGCAACCATTATATTCTAGCTCTAAATTTGTTTTATGAATATAGTGTAATAACGTCATAACGCAAAAATAGAAGGGATACTGGAATAGATAATATGACAACAAATGAGCGACAGTACAGCTGGTTTTTGCAGGACACATACACACGGACTATCCCCAAAACTAAATTCAGTTTGCGACTATACGACGTACATTATATGTGACCGGTCGCGACCCAGCAATTAGGTTCATCCTTAACCAACATATATTTTTATAACGATGACAAGAAGTATGAAATTGTGAAATAAATATTCAGAACCCGGAGTTCATTAATCGATTTTCATGTTTCGGCCCATTAAGAGGCAGAGGAAAACAATCATTCTCATTAGAAATACATACTCATCAATAATTTCAGGTGGGTTTTGTTAGGCCACACCAAGTAAATTTTATGGATGACGTCCTTTGGAGACCCTAAATCTAATGCGAGAGGGCGAAAAAAAAACAAGAAGGGCCATAAAAAACAAGATGCCTAGATTAGAAATATACTAAGAGACGACAAATGTTAGGACACAAATTGAATGAGGTGACACAGTGTAACAAGCAAGAAGTCTTTTATTCATCATACAAAACAGCAATAAATCAGGTGGAACAGCAGTTGTCGTCCTGTCCTGTTTTCGCGTTACGGGTTCCACGTCAATCTGACGATTTGCAGCACTGTCGTGACTCTTTGGTCATAGTTACAGGAAGCAGAATTTCTTGTTTTTTTTCTAGGAACAGGCCAAAATCAATGCGCGCGCGGACGTCATCCATAAAATTTACTTGGTGTGGCCTTACAAATAAATTTGAGGAAGGCGTTCTTCATGTCTTCATGTTCTTCACTAATCATACGTTAAACCTCAGGACTCACGGTTTAAAATCTTTGAAGTGCGCACGACCACGCCTTGTATCCACAGAGATATAAACTACATTGAAGCATATTGCAGGCATCTTTATACATATCATAATCAGCCATAAGAGAAATGAGAACGCCAATTATTGCTGGTACCGTAGTGATCATTTTGTGATCGACTACTAGTATGCAGCTCTTCCCCTCAATGAAGGTGAAGTAGATCTGCAGTTTCAACCTATATCGCAAGGGGGTGTTGATGTACGGGCGTGGGGAGCCATTATTCCGCTCACCGCGTCGAAGGTAAACATTGATAAAGGGTAGTCAACAGAAGGAACCAATAAACTCCGCCTCCTATCGACTTGTAATTTTAAGTCTAATTTTCCCTTCGTCTATGCCTTTAATTCTGTTCTATCAATCAAGAATCGCTAAACGAAGTACAGACAAATATTGCATGGCCCATAAAAATAAAACGCATGACTCAATCACCTATAGGGGGCGTTGCCCTCGTAAGGCGGTAAGACTAATAATTAACTCGTGGCCGTCATGTGATGACAATTCATGCAAAGGTCATTATCCAACTCACAAGGCAAGACGTCTGCTGCAGTTCTTAAGTTCGAGTGACTTCTCGACCGTCTGTCTGAGCCTTGAAGAAGCAGTGTTGCAGAGTGAAAGAGTTCCTCATTTGTGAGGAACTTGTGTTTCGTGTTTGGACGGCGAGGGGTGCAAAATGTCACAAGGTAAGAGTTCATCTGTTTACACGCTGCAATTCTTAAGTTTCGAGTGACTTCTTGACTGTCCTACTGAGACTCGAAGAAGCAGTGTTATAAAGTGAGAGTTTCTTTAATATTTTGGAGGAACTTCTGTTTCGTCTTTTGTCAGCGAGAGACCGGGGTAATATGTCACTAGGTGAGAGTTCACCTGTTGAAAGGTGAAGCTCTACTAGTATTATTCGATCATATACGTGACTGCGACTGTTGCAAACTGATCGAGGGGTAATTTCTTGGAACAGTCGCGCGACGTCGTACATATATCGGTCGAAATTCAGTTGTATTGTGCCGGAAAGGCTATTTTAGATTCGGATGTTAGTTCTGTCACAGTCTGCTTGAAAATTCTTCGTCAGCAAAATTGTACGATGACCCTGCAACACGAATGTGACCGTGTTGTATGTTGTATTGTCACCATGCTTTGCGTCTTTTCTGCTACTCTAGTGGCTAAAGCGTAATTGTATGTTACGCAATACAAAATTAAATATATCAAGCAACTCTATTAATTCTTGAGAACTAATATCCACTTCCTTGTTTCACCCGGAAGTCTGGCTGTAACCTTCATCAAAGTTTACTAAAGATTTAGGTGGGGGCTTAGCAAAGAGACTATATATTTACAAATCGTTTGTAGCTTTGTTTTGAGACGATCATCATCTTCAAAAACCATCTTCAAAAAACAACGTAGTGACGATTTAAAACCATGCTATGTATTCAATAAGCCAGAGGTTTATGTAAAAGTAAAGTTCTAAAATCTGTAACGCAACCCTTTAAGTTGATTTCCGGACAGGTATATTTGCATGGAGGTTGGTAAGCCGTCTAAAACACCTTTACAACTCCAAGAGCCGACGGCCGCAACAACATTGATGCCATATAAGAAAGTGTATATTGAGGGTAAAACTATTCATAGGTAGCCTACAAGATGATGAAAATCGTTGCACATTAGATCACAGCAAATTTACACAATGTAATACGGGCCACCACCAGGCTTTGGACTGTGGAACTTTTTGAGTCACGGTGTTTATGTAAGGGGTTGAAAAAGACACTTTTATGTATATTGCAAGAGGCAGTCGGCTATTGAAGTTTGTTGTGGCCAGTATGATAATCTGGTCAATGCAAATTCGATGCTTTGATCCCTTCTACATCAAGGACATGTCATATAGGTGCTAAATGTTGCATTGTCTGACTTGCAATCTGTAGCTTTGTCTGTGATTTGAGAATAAAAGCTGGGTGTTCTGTGGGTTAGGAAGACAGTCTGAGACAGACAGCTCGAGAGAAGGCCTGACGCAGAGAAAGTGCGTGTCAAGTCAAGTCAAAGCCTTTATTTTTCTTCGAAATGCTTGTTCGGCGCAAGGCCGCTTTTCAACAAGGTCGAAGTTGAGGGGAGGGGTCACGGATAAGAACCAAATCCATACAAACATAAATAATAAGTAATTAAATCAATACAATAAGTAAATGAATAAGTTCACAAATAAGTCATTAGGTTCGTAGCCAATTTAAGTCCATGGTGAGTCCCAGTTATGTCTGTTCCATAAGTGACTTGAAGGTATGGATGGATGGTGCTGCCCTAATGTGGGGCTGGATGTTATTCCATACCACTGAGCTGGAGTAAGCCAAGCTTCTTCTGTAAGCTTCCAAGTGCGGCCTCGGAGGGATGAGACAGTCAGTAGAAGCTGATCTGGTATTCCGTGCCACTTCATCCCTTCTCAGGCTGAAGACTCGTCTCATGTATGGTGGCAGTGCATTTCTCAAGGCCTTATACACCAGCAGAGCTTTTAGCTGTTGATGTATAGTCTTCACAGTCTTCCAACCAAGGCGCGATAGGATTTCTACTGATGGTGTTCTATATGGAGCTTTCAGAATAAGTTTTCCACCCGTTTTGGATTCTTTGCAGCTTGTCGTACTGCACCAAAATCGCTCCATCCCATACTGTGCATGCATAAGTTAAGTGTGGTAAGAAAATTGAATTGTATAAAGTGACAAGAGCAGCCTGATTTACGAATGGTTGGACCTGACGCATTACTGCAAGTGTTCGTTTCAATTTTGATAAGACATGATCAATGTGATAGTTCCATTTCAATTCACTGTCCACAATTATGCCAAGGTACTTGAAAGAATTTACCACTTCCAAAACACTTCCACTCATATACAACTGCAACTGGTCCTTTCCTTCCAGTCGCGTCTTTGTGCCAATTAGCATAGCCTTACTGACAGACTGTTTGCTAGGAACCATTGTTGCAAATGATCTATATCAGACTGTAGGGTGCGCTTTATAGTGTCTAAATCTGCATGACTGAAGTACACCACTGTGTCGTCGGCATATTATAAGGCTACCCGACATGACTGGATGCAACTTGGCAAGTCATTCACATACATTATGAAAAGCAGAGGCCCCAAGATGGAGCCTTGGGGCACTCCATATTCAACACTACAGAAATTAGATGTTTGACCATTCGTAACTGTACAATGAAATCTCTCAGAGAGATATGACTGAAACCACATGGCTGGCGAACCAGTGATCCCGAAGGCACTAAGTTTTTGTAGTAGGTATCGGCAATGCCTAGCCTCCTTCGCAGTCTTGTTGGGCGTCGGCGTAATTTTTTCTCTGAGCGACGCGAGTAATATGCCGCCGCGAGGTAGCCTCCTGTGCAGGCCCCGCGGCGGTGGGGAAGAGTTTTTAACGCATTATTTTAATATAGCCGGCCATCCAACATAGCCGCCGAGAGAAGGTTGCTTTCCGCCCACGCTTCTCTCGGCGGCTATGTTGGATGGCCGGCTATATTAAAATAATGCGTTAAAAACTCTTCCCCACCGCCGCGGGGCCTGCACAGGAGGCTAGCCGCGAGGGACGATTTGCTGCCGAGGGACTTTTTGCCACGGAGAGAAGGTTTCGCGCTCCAATAAGACTGCTTCCAATCGGCGAGTAGAAACTTAAGAAAGGACCTCGGATTTCATAGAGGCTATTAACATGTTCGTGCAGGTCCAATTCACATGTTCGCGCAAGGGTAATTCACGCCTTTGTCAACGGTTGGTTTTATTAGTCTTGCGTGTGTTCTTGCTAGCTAATCTCCAAGCAGATCACTCTCGGTGGCAAAAAGACAGTATCAAATTGGCCAGGCAGTATCCATTAGCCAGAGAAGGTCCGCGGCCACCGACGGGTGGTGGGGGTAGCGACAAAAAAAAAAAAATCCGGCCATATGTAAAAAGATAACGATCATTCCCCCACAACTTCTGCTTGGAGAGAACTTGCTAGCCCTGTAGCTAGTTCCCCGTGCAGCATCCAAAAAGAAAACAAAAACAAAAAACAAACCCAACACCCATAACGTTAATAGAGAAAATATAAATTTATTAACCTTCTTGGCGAAGGTAAAAATGTCACTCCTTATTGCATCTTTAATTTATGAATTACTTCCGGGTAAGGAAGTAATGCTTTGGGTGGCTGAGCTGTCGGTTTGTGTGTCTGCTTATAACCCGAACAGTATCCTTCGCAGTCTGTGGAAACTCAGACCTATACCTCACCAGCAGAACGCGCAGAAAAGTTGCTACAAGAATTCGCAAAAATGTGCAAAACCGCTTCCAGGTGTTGGACAATGACGGTGACAAACAAGCTGACACTTCAAGTACAAGTGCAAAACGCCGCAAGCAAGACAACAATGGAAGAAGTACAAAACAACCGGGTGTGAACAATATGGAGAACGCATCACGTCTGGAGACAGCGGCACAGAATCATCACAACAAAGAGCAGCCGCTGGACGTGTTAATCCTGGGCGACAGCAACACAAAGGCAATCAAACCTGAAATCCTATACCCTGACAGAAGTGCCAAAAGTGATGTAACTTTCAATCTAACAGAAGCCGAGGGCTACATTCAGAACTCTGCCCTTCCTGCCCCTAAGGTGATTCTGTTTCACATCGGCACAAATGATGTCCGGGACGCGCGCGACGCTGCTACAGTATTAAACCGAGGGATTTCGGAGGCTCGTCCACGTCGCCCACGACAAGTACCCCAGCACTAATCTTGTCTTCTCACCCATTCTCCCAAGGGATGACCCACACCTCATGGATATAGGCATGGAGGTCTCTTTTTACCTCCTTGATATAGGTAATGACATCAACTCATTCTTAAAAGTAGTTGCGGATGAGACAAGCTATGTACATATCACAGACAACTCCAACCTCTCCAGCTCAGGAACAATCAAGAAATCCCTGATGGCTACCATCTGAACAGGTATGGGACTCGAGTGCTGGCTGCTATAAACTTTAGGAGAGCACTGAACCCCCTCATAGGTCTGGGCGAATACAAAGGCAGAAGGAGCCAGCTTGCTAGTAATCAACCCTCTCCGATCCGCTCATACAGAGATGTAGTAATCGGTGCTCCCACAAGCAAGCAGCGCCAGTCACCTTCGCGCCCACCCACTCGCCATCAGCCCATGCGGAATCAGACCTCTCCAACCCCGAGCCCAGCCCGCCGGCCCTCCGGTCCCCCCACGGGAAGCCGTTCCTCCACACAAGGGCAGGGACGCACGGCTCCGGTTCCAGAGAACGGACCAGCAAACAACACGCTGAACTCCTCTACACAACAGTCCCCTGTACCGAAGAATCATCAATCTACCGTACCCAGTCATCCTGTTGGACCCTGGAGTCGCCACCCTCCGCCCGGACCCTGGAGCCTACCCCCACCCACCGGACCCTGGGGCCCGCCCGTACCCCACTGGGGGGCGGCTGGTGTTTTTCCGGGCCGGCCGCTAGGAGCGCAGATTTAGTCAGGCTACACACGTACGAGTGGAGGAAAGATTGACAGGTCAAAAAGGTCACGCACAGGGAATGAGGGGACTCCAAAGTAGGTTGACATGCACGCGGGTGGGGAGGATTGACAGGCAGAATGAGGTCAAAGACAGGAATAAGGCAAACTTGCAATTGATAGGCTGAATAAAAGTTCTAAACGGGAACTATGCGGCTCCAGATGTCTTACTGAGGGACGACTGCGTGTGCGAGATGTCGGTTAGCTGAGGAATGACTCCCCTCGAATTCACAAGGCAAACTTGCAATTGATAGTTATGAAAACCAAGAATATTTCCCGGCCCTTAAATCTACATTTGTTTCTCTTCCAGTTGAACTGTACGATGAGTCCACGCCGTTTAAGGCTGGATCCATCCAGGAGTCGGGGCATGCGCAGAAGAAGGGTCTGACGGTGATTACCGCCGCCCTGTTCCTGGTGGGAGAAATGGCGGGAAGCGGCGTGCTGGCGTTGCCGAGAGCAGTCGTTGATACAGGTAGGTAATTTGGCCCAATTCCCACTAGGGTAGAATTGACCGGATCGAGCCGAATTAAATCGCTTTGATCCGACTTCGATCCGGCTCGATTCGCCTCGAAGTAGGATCGAAGCCAGATCAAAGCGAATCGATTCGGCTCGATCTGGACAGTTTTATTCTAGTGGGAAAAGGGCAATAGTCTCTAAAAGGTATCCAATACATAATACAATTTCAGGGTGGCAAAAAAAACACATTATTCTGGAAAATGAAATATGTCTGATATTGGCATTTACTGCCATTTCGTAGCATACAGTATTTTCGAAATCATTTCATACTTGAAGTGTTTGAAATAGCCCCAAAACAAGCATTATTTTTGGTACCACCAATAAATAGCTAGAACTAGCCTATAATACGAAACAGGCAACCGTTTTCTGCTTTCATTTTTTTGTTGTTTCTCTTTTTTTCATTTTCTTAACAAAAATGAACAAATGACCTGGGCCAGACGGCTGCCTGTCGATGGTAACTGGTGACGTAGCAGACACCTTGTGGTGTTGGGTTACATTATGTAGCAGGACAGATTAAGAAAAAGTGTTATTTGTTGAGTATAGGTATGTGAAGGTTAACATTGTGTATTTCCTTTGCAAATTTAACTTTCTAGCTAACCCCATCTTGCCTCCAGGTTGGAACGGTGTGGTGATGCTGCTGCTGTGCTGTGCCGTGGCGGGACATAACGGCATCATGCTGGGCAGGTGTTGGAACATCCTGCAGCTCCGCTGGCCGGAGTACAGGGACCACGTCAGGGATCCCTACCCCGCCATCGGCGAGAGGGCTTACGGGAAGGTTGGAAAGTAAGTGGATCCTAACACAGATACTTTTTTTAATCAATTTGCTGATAGCATGCAAAAAGGAATATCTATTATGCTGTCAGTAGTCGTTTATTTTAACTCAATAAATGTTCTTAAAACATTTTGATACTAAAACTTCATACTACAGCATATAGTGGTGGGCCAATAATGTAGCATTTAGGAACCCTGAAGATGTATGAAATGCGTGGTTAAAGGGAAAAGTTCAAGAAACCATTATCAGTCATTATCACATACGTCGTGTGATCGTCGCATGGTTACAGGTTGAGGTTATTCTTGTTACGGAAAAGCAAGGAGGATAAAGTTGTCTTTTCTTAACCTGATTCGGAAAACTAGGTTGTTTTATATCATGTCGGCGGTTGGTTCTGCTTGAAAATTCTACGACATCAAAATTGTACGACGTCATACGACGAATGTGACCATGTCTTCACATAAGATAATGTATACGTACGGTCAAAAGGGGGCCGACTTTTGAGCCTTGACGAACCCACACTAGTCTCTTCCAGACTAACTACGCTGGCTATATGTAGGAGAATAATTGCCAGGGGAGTTTGGCCGCCTTGTAGGTTTGACTGGCCGCGCACTTCGGAGGGAAATAAACTACCTCCCCGCGGCCGGACTCCCTTGGCCAATTTTACTCTCTTTTTTTGCCGAATTCTACGATCCGCATTCCCGTAGAAAGGCCTGGTAGAGGCTAAACCCACACTACATCGCAGTAGCAATATTGAACTGTAGACATTGTAGATATTGAACTATTTTTGTGTTTACTGACACCAGGGTTGCGGTAAGTGTCTGTGTGAACGTGACGTTGTTCGGTGTGGCCACGGTGTTCCTGCTACTGGCGGCCGAGAACCTGCAGACTCTGGTGCAGGACCTGTCTCCTCACCGCAGCACCTTCTCCTTCTGCTTCTGGCTCATCATCCTGGCGGGCGCGCTCACACCCTTCACATGGCTCGGGTCGCCCAAGGATTTCTGGTGAGCATCTATTACCTTCGCCGAGAAGGTTTTGTTTTCAGTAGTGTTTGCATGCATGTGTGTGTGTGTGTGTGTGTGTGTGTGTGTGTGTGTGTGTGGTGTTTGTGTGTGTGTGTGATGTGTTCAGTTTCAGTTTTATTCAGATCCACAATTAGCCTCATAAGAGGCTATTCTTCCTGTGTGTGTGTGTGTGTGTGTGTGTGTGTGTTTGTGTGTGTGTGCTTTAGCATGATAACTCAAGACGCTTTGGATGGATTGTCATGACACCAGGTAGATGGGTAGGTCTTGTACTGCAGCAGAACGTCCGGTTCTGATATCTCATGATCTAGACATGCTAGGGTCATGAATTTTAGATGGTTTTAGATAGCTCTTGTGCTCGGAAAGACGTCACATGAGTTTAAGCCAACTATCAGCTTAGATTCAGTTGTGTTGACTTGTTGGACGTTGAGGGATGTAGCCTGGATACCGGCCTTTTTAGCACCAGTACGCTCTCTCTATCTCTTCAATGCCAGGACGACAGGACATATTCTATTCGTCTGTCATTTGAATAGTTGCTTGGTGATCGATCAGGCGCACTCATTGGCCAAACAACGCCACGTGACAACGGAGAGAAAGAGCACTAAAGCTGAAAAGGGTGGGATCGACACTAATCGTAATGACGATCTGTTGTTACGTAGTAACCAACGAAAAGGACACTGTAATATGTATCAATGGCAGACCAAATATGTAGCCTTGAGGAACCTATGATATCTAAAGGTTATTGCTTTCAAGCAGAATCGTGAAGGCTTTTATTTTCTTACATGTTCCATTTCAGGCCTGCGGCAGTTGCTGCGACTGTTGCCACGGTGTTGGCGTGTGTACTGATGTTTATTGGGGTTCTTGTGGACATCCCAAACTTTAAACACACGAAGGACCAAGAAGAGGACATTAAGGTATATTTCATAGCGTCTCATAAATGACCTTCTTAATATTGCATGTTAGGAGACGTGGGGCACTATGGGGATGAGTGAAGGGGGGGGGCAATATATTAGCATGATAATATGGATCGGACACAGTACGCATGCACCGATTAATTGCTGTGTGGGGAAGATCTTGGTTTTAGCTTATGTTACCCATAATGCACCGCGTCTCCCAGCATGCCATGGGATCAGGGAAAAGTTCCATGGGCCAATGTTGTGTTTTCTCATACATTTTGGGATACACAATTTTAATAGATGAAAAAACAAGTAAACAAATTAAAGAAATAAACAAATGCCAGCTTAATGTTTCCTAATAACAACTTTGGACATTTAAATGAATCAGAAAAATTCATATTTCTCATGAAACTTGACAAATCATGTATCACTAGTTCTATATGCTCGTACATCTATAACTGCGTCAAGAAGCGAGAAGAAGTCGAACAATGTAAATAGTAGTTCACATTAGTATGTATAGTTTAAGTATTATTATGGCTTCACCAGACCACGAAGTGGTCTGGTGAAACCATATTGTTTTCTCTGATGTTTCTTCTCCTCCTTCTTCTTCTCCTGCCATTTTTTAAAATGGATTCAGCTTCTTCATTTTGGGGCCTAAGGATCTGAAATTTGGTATGGAGGTACAGTGGGCAAATACCCTTAGGCGTTTTTTAAATTTTTGTGATACAGGCTTTTAGAATGGTTTTATTTGAGTTTTTTGGCTGTATTATAGCAAATGTATTACTGTGTCAGTGGGCAGTGTTAACCACATTTGGCATGAGTCATCACAATGGAATGCAGGGCATCAACCAATAGGCATGCAGCTTTCCTCTCTTCTTCTTGCTGATTGGCTGTTGGGATTTAACTTGATTAACACCTGCACAGACCATTTCCATACTGACAGTATGTCTGTATTCAAGTGTTTTGGTAGGTATTTCAAGCTTTCCTGCTCCAGCATTGGAATGCGGGGCATGAACGTTTTTTTTATTTTGAAAATCAACAGTTTGCATTATGCAATTAAAAATCCTAACCAATAATGTAGGGAATAGCTAGCCAACTGTTGTAGTCTTAGTTGTATGTTACTTCATATTATAGTTATATCAATGTAAAGCATTGTTTTCCCTTGTGTTTCTCATTCTTTCCCTGCCATGTCGTAAAATGTGGTGAAGCCATCGCTGTATTTGCTCCAAAGCAAATATTGGCCTTTCTAGTTGCTGTATGCTTTTTCTTGTCTATTCATGACCTGTACTTAGCTTGTTAGAGCACAAACGTACAATAAAGGTCTTTCATTCATTATTGACTAAAACTATTTTATTTTATCGTTTCCCCAGGCGGTGTTCCTGACGTTTGGAACCATCCTGTTCGCGTTCGGAGGGGCGTCCACATTTCCCACAATACAACACGACATGAAGGAACCACAGAAGTTTTCCAGATCAGTCGTCCTGGCTTTTGCAGGTCAGTCTGGTCCGTGAATAGTTTCATCAGGTTGGAAGGTCACTGACCAAAGAGACTCTTTTTTTTTTACACAACCAAGGGTTTTATCCGGCCGACGTTTCGGTGACCTAAACAATGATATCTGTGCTGTAAAACGTGAGTCAGTCAGAATTACTTAGTACCTTGAAGAAGGGTCATATCACGGGTTGGGAACTGTATAAAGTTTGAAAAAAAAAGAACTGATACTAAAATACAATCAGAAAACAACACTCGATGACCCTGGTGTACAAGTCCTACTCTATATACTATAGAGGCTAGTTTTTACACTGGAGTACTAGTTACTTAAGTTTTACTACCTTTATGTCTGGTTGAGTGTGTTCGTGAGTGAAGATAAGGAGTGATAAAAATGTATTTTGTAGGTCCGTCTCTTTTGGAAATCCATTTTTGCTTTAAATTTTGTTAGTTGGTCCTCCATAAAGGTAAATTCGTAAAAAAAATGACAAGTTTACACATACATATGGCATGTATAAACATATCTGCCCCCCTCCCACCCCAGCTCTTCTGCTGATGTATCTCCCAGTGTCCATTGCGGGTTTCCTGGTGTACAAGTCGGAGTGCGATAACAACGTCCTGACGACCCTGACTGCGGGGGGTCTGAAGTACGCCTCCCTCATCCTCATCACCCTGCACCTCATCTTCGCCTTCATCATCGTCATCAATCCCGTCTGCCAGGAGCTAGAGGAGCGCTTCAGGATAGCCAATAGTAAGTCTAGTAGACTTTTGGAAGTATTGATTTGGGTGGCGTCTGCTTGTTTGTCTTCAATGTGAGTGGGCGGGGATTGGGTTTCACTTGATTGACAGATTTTTTGTCAGGAGTTCGAGGAACGCTTCAGGATAGCCAATAGTAAGTCTAGCAGACTTTTGGAAGTATCGTAACAGTGGGAGTTTATAGGCGCTATCAACTGATCCGGCTGATGGGTCTAGACCTTTTCGGCCGAGCGGTTGGAGCGTCTGGTTATGAAGCTCTAGTGCATGCCCGGGAGGTCGTGGGTTCGAACCCCGGCCCGGGACCAGACGGGTTTTTATCTGTTCCTCCTGGTTTCTTACAGTGGTTCCCACACCGGCCCTGGGAGTTCTGGCAAAGAGTGCCGCTCTAGGGATGTCGAATTCGGAAGATTCGAGGACGAATCTTGAAAAGAAAAGGGGGAGTAGTGTTACAGTTACAGTTTTTAGGTTTATAGGCGCTACCAACTGACCCGGCCGATGGATCTAGACCTTTTCGGCCGAACGGTTGGAGCGTCTGGTTATGAAGCTCTGGTGCCCGGGAGGTCGTGGGTTCGAACCCCGGCCCGGGACCAGAAGGGTTTTTATCTGTTCCTCCTGTTCTTACAGTATTGTTTTGGGTGGTGCAAATTTAAGGTAATTTATGAGTGGGCGGAGATTGGGTTTCACTTGATTGACAGATGTTTGTCAGGAGCTCAAGGAACGGTTCAGGATAGCCAAATTAGTAAGTCTAGTAGACTTTTGGAAGTATTGATTTGGGTGGCGTCTGCTTGTTTGTCTTCAATGTGAGTGGGCGGGGATTGGGTTTCACTTGATTGACAGATTTTTGTCAGGAGCTCGAGGAACGCTTCAGGATAGCTAATAGTAAGTCTAGCAGACTTTTGGAAGTATTGTAACAGTGTGGGGTTTATAGGCGCTACTAACTGACCCTGCCGATGGGTCTAGACCTTTTCGGCCGAGCGGTTGGAGCGTCTGGTTATGAAGCTCTAGTGCATGCCCGGGAGGTCGTGGGTTCGAACCCCGGCCCGGGACCAGAAGGGTTTTTTTCTGTTCCTCCTGTTCTTACAGTATTGTTTTGGGTGGTGCAAATTTAAGGTAATTTATGTTAGGTTTCATCAAAGACCTGATAGAACGTCCTTGGTTTTATGTTTGGGTTGTGAGTGGGTGGAGATTGGGTTTCACATGATTGACAGATGTTTGTCAGGAGCTCGAGGAACGCTTCAGGATAGCCAATAGTAAGTCTAGCAGACGTTTCTTCTGGGATGGAATTTTTGTTTTGGGTGGCGCTAATTAGAGCTAGGCTTGTACGTTGGAAGTATTGATTTGGGTGGCGTCTGAATGAATGAATGAATGAATGAATGAATGAATGAATGAATGTCTTCAATGTGAGAGGGCGGAGATTGGGTTTCACTTGATTGACAGATACTTGTCAGGAACTCGAGGAACGGCTCAGGAGAGCCAATAGTAAGTCTAGCAGACTTTTGGAAGTATTGATTTGGGTGGCGTCTGCTTGTTTGTCTTCAATGTGAGTGGGCGGGGATTGGGTTTCACTTGATTGACAGATTTTTGTCAGGAGCTCGAGGAACGGTTCAGGATAGCCAATAGTAAGTCTAGCAGACTTTTGGAAGTATTGTTTTGGGTGGCATCTGCTTGTTTGTCTCCAATGTGAGAGGGCGGAGATTGGGTTTCACTTGATTGACAGATGTTTGTCAGGAGCTTGAGGAACGGTTCAGGATAGCCAATAGCAAGACTAGTAGATTTTGGTCACCTCCGGGACGGAAGTATTGTTTTTGGTGACTCTAATTAATGCTAGGTTTGTATGCATGGAGTCAAATGTGAGTGGGGGAAGATTAAGTTTCGGTTGATTAACAGATTTTTGCCACAAGATCGAGAAGCGGTTCAGGATAGCCAATAGTAAGTCTAGTAGACATTTCTTACGTCGAGGACGGAAGCTTTGTTTTGGGTGGCGCTAATTTGAGCTAGGTTTATATGTATAGGTTCCTATGTGCGTGGGCGGAAATTGGCTTTTGCTTGATTTACAGACGTCTGGCAGAAGCTCGAGGAACGGTCCAGGATATACATGTATAGCCAATTGTATGTCTGGTAGACATAACTGTACGGAAACACACAAACACACCTAGCACAATACGTCCGTACACGGAAGGTAATACTGTATTTAAGTTTTCTTATGTCGAATCTTTCCGTCAGGGTTTGGAGTATTCCGGATCTTACTCCGGACGTTGCTGGTGGGACTGGTGCTGTTTACTGGAGAGAGTCTGCCCCATTTCGGCGCCATCTTGTCCCTGGTCGGAGGTTCAACCATCACCTGCCTCACTTTCGTCTTCCCCTCCCTTTTCTACCTGAAACTCTCCCGACAGACGAGCCCTGATTGGCCAGAAGTGTAAGTTTTCTATGATGTATTTCTCAAGCGCCCAATCAAAAGGAGAGTACTTTTACAAAACAGGTTAGAGCTTTTTCTTTGCTGGGGTAACCGTATAAGGGTTATTCCATATAGAAGAGGGGGTGGTCAACTAAGGTGATTTTCAAAATGACGGAGGGAGGGGGGGCAAGAGATGGAAATAGAGGGGATGAGACAAAAAACCATTGATCGCCCTAAGGTATTCTTAATGGAATGACCTAATATACAACAACAATATCTGACTTGTTGTCCCCCTTGCGTTTCCACAGAGAAGTGCAGCCGTACGAGTGGGCGTGGCACATAGAGTTCATTCTGATTGGTGTGGTGGGCGGCATAGCCTCCACCTACTCTGCTATTGACGGGATCGCCAGCGGTTTCCAGGTGGTTCCCTGTTACGTCAACATGACAGCTGCCAACATGTAGATTTCAAGACTGTATAAGGAACTAAGAAATACGCCGATGAGTCAAAAATACATAAATTGCCATGAACTTGCCCAAAATGGCTGCTTTTTCTGTAATAAAATAGCAGAGTGATGTCTTGGTTAATACAAAAACAAGGCCATTGAAGAACCGCGAAGAATCTCACCCCATATGGGAGGTTTTGATGTAATTCGTAGTCATTGCTAACTGACACACAAAAAAGGCTACGCCTGTGAGGTGTCGCCAAAAATGTTACACAAAACGTATAGAATGCCGGGGTAATTAATCTTGATTTGTTACACCTTACCAGGGCTCTTGGGCTTAGCCTGCAAAGAAGTCTCAGTTTTGGGCGTTTCCGTAAAGTTGTAGTATAAGAAATACATGTTTGATATCTGTAAAGTCACGGATATTAGAACTAAGTAGTATGTCACCATGTTTTGTTTTACATGGTGACTGCATGAGAGGCTAATTTTAGAGAAATTCAAACGTTTGAAGAAACCATGGTGCAATCTTTACAGTTTTATTATTCTTTTGTGAATATGATGTACAAAAATTAAGGGAGCGCGATTAAGAGTCAATGTGCAAATGTGATATGACGTGATATCATGTGAAGTATTCTGGACATTTACGAGTATATAATATACATTCATAAAGCAAGGTGCTTTTTTTGCATATCGTTCTTCACGAAAAAAAAAACGTAACTGTAATTTCAGTATTTCGACATGTTTCTTTGCATCATTACTATTCTATAGATGTCTTGATTGATTCAAACAGTTCCGTGATGCGGGTGCTGTTTCTGACAAATTCTGAAACGAGGATCACAAATATTGTTGTAATAACAAATGTATTTCTCTATAGTTGGTAGTAGGTAGGGTCCGGAGGTCCTGTGTTTGAGGAGAGCCACACAAAGACCCCAAATACAAGTATCGAAAAGGGCCCTAAATTCCCAGTGGTTCAAACCGTACAGTCTGTTTTTTTACCGTAGCCTAGTACTAGCTTGCATACACTGGTGTGTTTCGCCTTAAAAGGCGTCTACGATATGCCTTGGGTTATGCGAAACAAAGAAACAAAAAAGCAGAATCAAACATTGAACGTACATTGTATGCTTTATTCTTTCAGTGCAAAATTAGGTACAAACGCACGCATGAAGACCGAAGTCGGCAATGTTTCTACAACGAATTACCAGTAGGTTTTAGAATAACTGATAATAATTACATTTAGGGTGCTGTAGGTTCCGACTGGACCATTCTGACCGGACTTACAGGCTTTTACAGACATTAGTCTGATATTGTCAGACATTGCAGACAGAAACTGATACAGAATATCGCATTTGAGTTTTGTCGGCAAGTTGCACCGTTTGCCAGGGTACACGTTCAAAGTTCACAATTTGTTTACTTGCACTTTTGTAACGTTAGTAATCAGACCAATTGCACAACACCGGCCACTTAAAAACACAAAAAATGCAAATATTTGATGGATATGCAGTCACACTCCCATTGGTTGAACCGCTAATTATCATGCTACAATTGGTTGATCGGCTAATTATGATAGACAGTCAGGATCGGTCTATTGGCATGCCAAGGGCATCATGCGTACCTACCAGCAAAATGAAACAAATAATGTCGATAACTGACCCAATGTAAACATTCATCATCATCATGTAAACATTACGATGATCAAAATGTTTGAACGATTTCTGTACTAAAACAACGATTGACCAATTCAAGTTTCCAAATACTGAAATATTCCAAGCTTAGATTAGGTGAGAAAATGAAAAAAAAAATCGCGCATCCAGAACTAGAATTATTCAAAAGTAACACATTTCTGTAAACGTCTTGAACAGGAATGAGGGGCAGAAGTCGCCAGTCGTAATTTCCAAGCAGATGTCGAAGGGAAAATCGTAACATCCTTTATCCTTCCTTTTTTTCTGCTTACCACGCCACCACGCGGTCGTATTTGTCGTAGGTCGTCGTGCGATTATATCGACGTCGTGTGGTAACTGTTTTCAAACAGGCCGCGATAGCACCAATTGCTGGCAATGGCAGCATTTTTCGACAGCGGATTTTTGCAGGACTAAAACAAAACTATCGTAAGAATGATGTAAGTTTGCTATCGTGCGATGATCTTACGGCGAATGTGATGAGGGGCTCTTAGTAAACAGCTGTAATGTTGTAAGCAGATCTTTCCTTTGGCGAAACGGTGACAGCACCAAAAAGTGCTCCAACAGTCCAGACTGGAGACTCAGAGTGTCTGACCAATTTGATACTGTCTTGTATTTCTTTTTTAGGAAGCGAGTATGGGAACCCTGCTATACAAATAGTATAGAGCCCAGGCTAACTGCCTGCTGTTTATTAGCTACTCTCACAATTTTGACCAAGAAATGTGTGCTTTGAGAAACAGGGGCGTGCATCAGAACAGAAAAAAGAAAGTAAGAGCCTCAGGATGTTACGACGTTCTCTTTTAATCTCCAAGCAAATCTTTTGGTGGCTGAAAAGACTCATCTAGTAGGCCGAATCTAAAAAGCCAGAGTGTAGCCATTCGTGTCCAGCCATGTCAATTTGATTCTGTCTTTGCAGTCAGCAAAACATGTGTTTGGAGATTAGTTCTCTTTGGCCTCCCATGTTTGCTGGTTACCCTGACACTTCTGAGGTCGGCAGGGAGCCCGGGCAGCACACCGGGCAGCAGTGCACGATGTCCTGGTTCAGCTGGGCCAGCGTGCAGGTGGGAGACTGAGCCTCACAGGCCTGCTGGGTGCTCACGTCGATAGTCACCGCCACGGGGATACACTGGATGCAGGTCAGGTGACAGATGGGTGCTGGGTCGACGCAACCTTCCCGATGGACTTCTGAGTACAAGACAAAGTTTGGCACTATCAAACATATTATGTTAATATATGCAAATTCAGTGAAATTATCATTATGTTCTTCATTTGTTATATTTATTTGGTTTGTTTTATGTACTCTACTAGTTTGTTGTTTTATTTTGAAGCATTGTTTTTTTTTTAATTATTGCGATGCAATATTTGTACTTAAGTTAGTTTATACGTATCCTTAAGTTTGTTTTGTTCAATATGTGCAGGGAGCATACATGCACCAAAATGGCGACATGTCAACTCGGGGTAAATAAATGAAAAATGAAGTCAAACAAGGGCCCAGTTATTATTATGAGAACTTTCGGCATTTTCGGCATGTTGACCACTGTCAGAAGGCAACAAAATTTCCTTTTCCCCCAAAAATTAGGCGAAAATTAATGCGCGTGCTGATGTCATCCATAAAAATGACTTGCTGTGGCCTTACCGTTCTTCACAGCACCAGTAGCTCCTGGCTTCACAGTCTGTTGTCCTCCACCCGCTGCCTCCTCCACGCGATAGATGGGGAACTTGGCACAGAACATCGCCATGTCTTCGGTCAGGAAGCTGCGGTCGTCCATGGCCCGACGGATGACGTTCCACGTGCGAGAGGTCGGGTAGCTGAGTTCCAGGTTCACGCTGGAGCCCGTAGCCTATCAACAATAGCAACAAGAATAAATTGATAAATAAGTAAGACCCGCATTGTTACAATGCCAGCTAGCTTCAGAGGACAGTACAGTGAACCATGTTTTTTATTTTTATTTATTGAACTTTACAGATTTAAAAAAAAATCTGTGAGGAGCCGGCAACAGAAAGCTGGTTTCTCTACGGGGCCGGCTCCTCAACAGAGATACATAGCACCGAGACAAATAATACATCAAGATACATCAAAATATCAGAACTAAAGATATACAGTATACAAAATACAAACAACAATAAAGGCAGTAAGGTATGGCTAAGTGGTCAGGCAGGCATGACATCTACAAATGGAGGACCAGGTGCATATGTTATCGGTGGAATATGTGGAGTGTACCCGGGATATGTAATAAGTGGCTAACAATTTCCTGACAGATGAAATGCTAAGATTTGAGTACAAATGTTTATACAGTAAACCAGTCATATTAGCCCTGTTGAAGACGACAAACGGTAATCGAAACATAGGCTCATGTAATACAAATGGTTGTGAATAAAAGAACTTAACTATTCAAGTAAGGCTTAAGGAAAAAGATGTTGTGTTTCCTGTTTCAGTCCTAAAAAAATACGATTGGTAGGTATAGATTCTCCTTTTTTTCTCAGATTTAGGCTGAAGTAATTCAAGAAATACATTCGTTCGACGCAGGCCAAATTATATTTATTTGCCCCGTTTAATGCTCGATCTATTCAAGTAAGGAAAGGTAAGAACCTTGGCTAGTTGAAATCCGTTCTCGAGAACGCCTGGAGCCGGAACCTGTGGCAGCAGGGGAGCGAGGTAGCAAACCTTCTTCTCCGGGAAGCGGAACATCGTCAGTTTCTGTAGGGCAAGAAAAAAACAACGAATAGTATTAGACAGTAATACTTCTTCTTCTTATACAATTTCCCCCAACACGAATGAGGACGAAAGAAAGGCCACACTGACTTAATGTTATGGCCATGTATGGCATTTAGTTATTTATTTATTTCATTTGAAGACTCCAAAACTAGTGCGCGAGGGGGAATAAAAATTTCAGCCCAACACAATTCTTACTAACATTATAGGAATACAAAGCTGGTATGTTGAATTTGCGGTAGTACATAGCACCTTTGACGACTTTTACTGCACTGCATGCTGGCCCTTTGCTGCATTTATGTGTCGACACTGTGCTGAGTTTTTGAGTTCTTTGGTGCCTCGATCGGTAGCCTGGGTTCCATCCTCCGTAATTACGTACCATCGCTATATAGCTAATTACCATGCACTACGAGGTATGGTACCCAGGCTACCGGTATTTGCTTACCGAGTTGAAGTCGTGCATGACGTCGGACTTATCCACAGTGTTGTACTGAGGAACCTCGATGATCTCAAGGTTCTTCTCAGCTTGAATCTTCACCGAGATCTTCTGGCTGAAACCGGCAAAGTCCTTACGCACCAGAACCTCGTGGATCTGCAAAGAAAGAGGATAAACAGAAAGCTAGTAGCAGTTTTACACACTACTACACTCAGATCGAACATACTACACAAGAAGTTTGTCAACTGAAGTCTATCAATACTTGTACTTCTATTGTTAACATATTGCTGCATGGGGAAGGGGTTCAGCGCGCATCTTTAGTCTTATTTTGTATAGTTAAAATGTCAAGTGGAGCTGTTAAAATAATTGTATATAAGTTGAGTGCAGCCCCAATATGTCCTTGTATTGTTTTTTAAATAAAAATCGGTTGAAGCGACCCCTTAGCCCCACCCACCTTCGCCAACACGTAGAAATGCGAAATGAAAACATAAAAAAACACAAAAACATAAAAATGCAACCCGGCGGAATGAGTGCCGGCCCAACCATTAATTTCAATGCAATTAACAATTGGTTGAACTGCTGATTGTGACGGACATATACTAATCTCAACATTTGCTAGAAATTACCTTCGGTGCAGAGCAGTCACACACCGGCCCGGCATTGGAGCACAGGTAGAGGCCAACCGTCACGGCAAAGAAGAGGGGCATACACGAAGCCTGGAAACAATATCCAATAGCGTTAATGAAGGTGAAGCCCCTGTCACACATTCACGAATCACATCCTCTCGAACGCTAGCTGAACGTTCGCCGACCATGGTTAGGAGTGGGCCGGCACCGAACCGAAAGTTTCAAAATGTTCGTGGGCCGTTCGGGAGGTTTGATCATAGTTGGCTGATTTTCGACCGTTGCAAATCAGCCAACCAACCGGGAGTAGGTCAGACAGCAGTGTTTGGGTGTGTTCAGGGATCAAATTTGACTTCAATTTAGCTCTAATTCGTTTCGATTCGTAAAGAAAGGTAGGCGTAGGCCAAAGTGCTCGCGAACGTCAGCCAAACCTGGTCGACTGGTGTTCGGGAACCAATTCGGGGGAAGGTCGTGAATGTGTGACAGTGTCTTTAGCTAAAGGAAGAGATAGTCCCGAAGCCTTTTTCGAGGCCGTGGGGGCATTGGGTTGATAGATCACTGTGTCCTTGGCGCGGTATTGGAAGGCGGAGAGATGGACACTCTTTCTATTTAAAAAACGTTACTTTTATATCTTGCACATTTGGTAATGAAAGTGTGGATTGAAAAGGAAGAGCTTGGCATTTAGACAGAAACTGGCACAACAGGAAAGTAAAACTCAATCTAGTCTGTGGTCACGGATTGAATGTGTAAGCAATAAGAACTCTACATACATGTACGTGTCAACTCGAGCCATCGGTATGCTATAACGAGAGAATACAAATACACGTACCATGTTGAATTCCCGCGTGTGCAAGTAGTCAGGTCGCCAAACTTGCTAGCCAGCCCTTGAATGCGTTTTAAAAGAGGGAACGGTGCAGGGTCCCTTTTAAAGGCTGTCATATTTGCACAAAAGATAAACTTTATTTTCCAAGCGTGTCAAAAGATCGGTTCAAGCAGCTCTGGTTGGTTCATTTTTGTCAGGCGGCAACTGAAGACAAAACAAAGTTTTTCCTGGAAATTATGACAGGTTGTTGTTCCCAGTGACAGGATGTTTTTTGGACCTTGGCATCAGGCGTGCTCATAAATAACCTGTTTTGTAAATATTTTTCACGAGTCATGCAGAAATGAGAAACCGAGTCGTTTACATCAATTCGGTATTACGGACAAGATACGGTATTAGCGAATCACTGTATCTGTTTGCTGGTCATGTGTAAGTTCTGCGTTTGTGTGAGTTTTTTTATTGTTCCCATGTAGTTTATACAAACGGTCAATACATGACAAATTAATTTTCTACTAGTAAGTAGATTAGGGAATTTTTTCGAGTGACATCCGTCAGTCTTCTTTACCGCGAATAAACAAAGCTAGTCAACACTTACAGTATGTCATGAAAGTTCATCTGTGTTGGTAGTAATCATAGTAAAACGTTAAACTTTATACTCTCTGTAAATTGTGTGTTGGAATAAAGTTTAACGTTTTACTTACAGTATGTTTAATGTTAAAACTTTTGATCCAACACAAAAAGTTCTCTCACCTAGAGCTTTCGACCAGTCACTCTGGTCTTCCTCAGTAGACTGACCCAGTAATTAGGAAACCGACTATGAGAGTATTGTATACCTGGATATCTAACCTTCATCAATGTGACAATAAATGTTTCTTTTTTGGATATGTACTAAGCGAATTACCTACCGTATGCAGTGCAAAGCACACTAGTTGCTTTCATTTCCGAAGTTGTAAAGCATCAAACAAAAAAAATCGCTGAACTTTCTTTTATCTGTCAAACTGAAGGGCTTTGTGTAGTGGAAGAGTTGAAACTCTTGAAAGTAAAAGCATGTACCAGAAAATCTTACAGGGGTGCATGGCCCTGAAAGAACTTTGGAATCTTTCAACTGAACATTTTTAACCACGTACCTCACGTGACTTGTTATTCGTTAGGTGACGTTAAAAACAGGTATCCTGACGCGTACCGCGCGTGTACTGTAACTCTAATTGACACGTGTTGGTTACGTACAGTTGTTATGTAGCGGTAACAAATATTTTTCTGGACATTGTGTCTGGACATTGTGCTGGTCAAGCAAAAATTGAACTTTCAAGGTTGCCAGAAAGCTACTCTGATTGGTGTAACCTGTTTTCTTCGTCTGTCAAGAGGGAAGGGGGGTGAGGGGTATGACGTTTCGGCGCGGCCCCTAGACTTTGGCCTGTGACCGATGGAGTCGACGAACTCGAAAGTGTGATTACGATAACAACTTGAGCTTTCGAAACTGGTTTAGCCTAAAAAGCTCTAAAATTCTGTCTTGTTTTGAAAGTCGTTTTTTTTGTTATCGTAATATGTCGACGCACAATACGGTTATTGTTCAAATGGGTGGGCCCAACTAACATCTTATTTCTCTCAGAAAAGTTGAAAAGTAACCAGAACACCGTTGGCTTATCCCGGATAAAAAAAATTAAAGAATCCATGGGACACAACTCCTTGAAGTACTAGTAAGCATGGCGTTTAGTCAAGTATAACATCTACATGAATAATATTACGTATGCAAACCGTGTTCCCAAAGATTTAAAAATACTGTGGTGTAAGCACATACCATAAAAATGACAAGATATGGCATTAGTGAGTCGCTGCATCTGTTTACTTGTCATTTGTGAGTTTTGCGTTTGTGTGAGTTTTTTTTTTATTGTCCCCATGTAGTAGGTTTACACGAACGGTTAATATGTGACAATGAATTCTCTACTAGTAAATAAATAAGGGATTTTACTTCCTAATTTTTCGAGTGACATCCGTCAGTCTTCTTTACCGCGAAGAAACAAAGCTAGTCAACACTTACAGTATGTTAAATGTTAAAACTTTCGATCCAACACAAAAAGTTCTCTCACCTAGAGCTTTCAACCAGTCAATCTGGTCTTCCTCAGTAGACCGACCCAGCGAGGCACTTACAGTAACTGGAAAACGGACTATGAGTATTATTTACCTGGATGTCTAACCTTGTGACAATAGATGTTTCTTTTTTGGATATGTACTAAGCGAATTACCCACCGTATGCAGTGCAAAGCACACTAGTTGCTTTCATTTCCGAAGTTGTAAAGCATCAAACAAAACAAAATCGCTGAATTTTCTTTTATCTGTCAAACCGAAGGGCCTAGTGTAGTGGAACAGTTGAAACTCTTGAAAGTAAAAGCACTACCATACAATCTTACAGGGGTGCATGGCCCTGAAAGAACTTTGGAATCTTTCAACTGAACTTTTAACCACGTGACTTGTTATTCGTTAGGTGACGTTAAAAACAGGTATCCTGACGCGTACCGCGCGTGTACTGTAACTCTAATTGACATGTTGTTGGTTACGTACAGTTGTTATGTAGAGGTAACAAATATTTTTCTGGACATTGTGTCTGGACATTGTGCTGGTCAAGCAAAAATTGAACTTTCAAGGTTGCCATAAAGCTACTCTGATTGGTTAAACCTGTTTTGACTGAGAGGTATGACGTTTCGGCGCGGCCCCTAGACTTTGGCCTGAGACGGGTGGAGTCGACGAACTCGAAAGTGTGGTTACGATAACAACATAGGCTTTCAAATCATGTTTAGCGTAAAAAGGTCTAAAAATTCTGTCTTGTTTTGAATTTTTTTTACCATATTAAATAAGAGGTTTCGAGTTTTTCGACGATTGTTTTTCAAATGGGTGGCCTCAAAAAGCTGAATGGTTACCAGACCACTGTTGGCTTCTCCCGAATGAAAAAAGAAAGTGAAAATGAGTATTGTCTGTCCTGTATTCGTTTCTATGTGCGGGACACAACACCAGCAACAGCTGCCTCTGTTCCACGTGTATAGCACTGTTGCAATTTCAATTGACTTCAGATTGACTTTCCTCACTTTGCTCAGGTGAAAATGAGTATTGTATTGTCCCCTGTTTTTTATTTTTTTTTATTTTTATTTATTTCAAATTTGCCGCAAGGCCAAGGGCAGGACAGGGGGAACAGGCGGTGCCTTTTCAAGGCCCCCTGTCCAGATAAAAACATACATAAATCTAAAATACAACTAATAACAAATACAAATAATCACTAACAAAATTCTTAAAGGTAAGTAGTAAAACAAAAGCAAATGCAATAACTACGATAACATAGGTAAAAGTAGTACAGTACAATGTGATGTTGGCGGCATTAATATATAAGTTGAAAAAAACTTGGGTGTGCCGTCACCACGTCTTGTGATTATATGTTGCAATAAAGAAAGTACCCTCTGGTCCGGGTGAAGGACACGAAAAGCTCAAAGTACGACCGACGACCAGGCGAGTGCTATTGACCATTCAATCACATGAGCACCTCCTTCCAGGAAAGAGTGTCGAAAACAACTACGGTTTACTCAAGCACGATAACTATCTAAACCTGATAAGATGAATGACTTTAATGTCAACAAGTAGATGGCATATAAAGACTTGTTACCAAGTTTTTCTCTGAATCGTCCAGCAGCGCTCCCCTTTGCCGAGCCAAGTCACTGCCAAGTCTACAAAGTGGCAGATATGGTAAGTACTAGTATGTCATCGATACATAGTTTGTTATCGTTTCTGTAAGATATGGTGCTGTTTTGTTTGGAATGTTTAAACTAGATTTCCTAGCGCACCGTGGTGTCGACGTTAATGAATGAAAGAACTTTTGGGTTGGCCGGCTACTCTCTCCTTGCAGCCAAGGGCTGAATTGTGAGGAGCTTAGAATTATATCTTGGGGCTTAATCGCAAGGGTCCGGGGCGGCTGCCATTCTGTGTTAACTCAGGTGATAATACGACCATAGGACTGTAAGGTGATAAAGCAGAGGTAAAATTCCAGTGATATCTTACTGCAACTTTGCAGACTGATATGAACTAAAATATACAGGATCAACTTCTTCTCGCTTCTTAAGGCAGTTGTAGATGTATGGAAACGTGGCGCTTTCTAGACATGGTGTGTCTAATTCCATAAGGGATACGAATGTTTCTGTTGTAATGTTACTTGATATGTTACAATTACTCACAGGCTTTCAACGTTCTTCGACTTGTCGTCGGCGTCCTCGTGGTTCTTCGGACGGCTTCGGCTGGCCCCGTCTGCGACTGTTCCCAGAAGTCTACAGGAAAGGTCAGAACAGCTGTTTACTGTATATGTTTCTACGAACCAGTTTCTGTATTTCTCTATCTCATTTGGGCAGCGTCTACTTCTACAATTATTTGTACTATTTGTCTAATGTCTGGGGTTGGTAGAAGATCCCGGACAGACCATAAAGGTTTTTTTAATCTCCCCCGCATATCCTCATTTGTTATGCCCATGCTCATTTTGCTACTCTATCACACAGTTATACGTATCCGAAACTAACTGGTTATTTCCTCACTGATTTATACTGTATTCAGATAACATCACCTGAATTGTAATAAATTTTGTTCCTGTACATCGGACTTTACGTATTTGATGTTTTTGTCTTGTGTTGTCCTGAGGCCCTGTTGTCCTGTTGTCCTCAAATTAATAGAATCTATTTGATTTATCTATATGTTGAAATAGATAAAAAATTAACTTACCAAAGTAGATTCTGTATTTATTTCGCAGATTCTGAAGCTCCGGGTTCATGAGAACTCTGCTGAGTTTGAACAGGCGGTGGAGATCCATGCTGAGAAGAACATGCAGATCTTTCACGTCCCTCAGCACAACAGAGTCGACAAGTCTGACATCATGCACGACTTTAATCAGGTACATTTGCAAAAGCACTATTTAAGCATGTATTCTGAATCTGTGTAGCCGGTATAACCGCCCCTCGGCGTAACACACCAGCTTCTGTATCTGTATAGCCGGTATAACCGCCCCTCGGCGTAACACACCAGCTTCTGTATCTGTATAGCCGGTATAACCGCCCCTCGGCGTAACACACCAGCTTTTGTATCTGTGTAGCCGGTATAACCGCCCTTCGGCGTAACACACCAGCTTCTGTATATCTGTGTAGCCGGTATAACCGCCCTTCGGCGTAACACACCAGCTTCTGTATATCTGTATAGCCGGTATAATCACCCTTCGGCGTAACACACCAGCTTCTGTATCTGTATAACCGGTATAACCACCCTTCGGCGTAACACACCAGCTTCTGTATCTGTATAGCCGGTATAACCGCCCTTCGGCGTAACACACCAGCTTCTGTATCTGTATAACCGGTATAACCGCCCTTCGGCGTAACACACCAGCTCCTGTATCTGTATTTTATCTGAATTTTTAACACCTCCATCATGTAGCTCTGGTACTTGAAGACATGAATAGTTCTTGTTCTTGTACTAAACATATCTTAAAATTGTTGACGAAAAAAGAAACCTTGACGGCAATAACCAAGCAGCTGACATTTACTTGCAACAAGCTGTCTTCTAGAGTTGAAGACACGACGCACACGTTTGTAACTATGATGGTAGAGTTTAAACAAAAGTTGATGTTTTGTAGTTTAAAACGCGGCCTTTTTTTTTGCTTGAATCTTGACAATGTCCTGTAAACTCATTCTTTATTTCAAATGATACAATGGTTTTTGCTATCGTTGCAACAGCACCTGACGATGATCCGCTTTCCTGACAAGAAAGTCTGCTACCTTGCGCCATTAGCCGAAGGTAGGCCGATACCCGAAGACGTTGAAAGTGGGTTTCAGCAGGCGAAGGTTTGTCAGCTAATAATTTGATTATTTATTTAACATTAACCACTGACATTAGATTGTATGACGTGACTCCGCTTTTACACTATGGTTTATTTTTTATGCAATGATTGACAGTACACATTATCGGTAACATTATACCACATCCTACTATATCGGTTCACAACCCTGTCAATCAACTGAATCCCGATCTCCACCTACTTACTTCCAATCTTCCTTACCCAGGACAAGATATATACAAGCCCCTTGAACTAGTGCCGCTCATAACAATGCTTCCGTTCAGGAAGTAAAAACTTGCGCAGATACCTTTACATGCATTTGAATAAGTTTATATTTATAAGGGAAGTTTATCTGTGTTTGTAGTAATCATAGTACGATGCTAAACTTTATTCCAACATAAAGATGAACAAGGACCAATTTGGACCAATTGCTGACTTCACGTGCCCGTAACGTCTGATTTGAATACGGTCACTTAAGGTAGCTTGTCTGTAACTCTCGAGGGTTTACGTTCTGAAATGATTGGTCATCAATTATCACGAGAAAGCACCAAGCTCTATTTGACTGATGTATATGTCCGTCAAATATATATAGAAGTCAAACGCTACGTTTTCTTACTCATATATACATATCGTAGTTAGGTATCTGTAAATTATAACATTGGCTAGCGGGAGGGTCGCGCACTGTACTGTGGAAACCGCTGATTATTGTTGATTTGTGTAATTGTGCCGTGGCAAAATAAGTTGTAATTTGAATGTCCCTGTCCTCTGTGTAATGCTAATAAAATTATCCTGATGAAGGCGACAGTAGTCGGTGAAACATCGTACTATATGTTTCAGACTCTAGTTCCTACGATGACTGTGGGCACTCCGACCTCTCGCACGTGGAACGTCGTCCGTCCGGCCATCGACGACCGCAGCTTCCTGACCGAAGACATGGCGATGTTCTGTGCCAAGTTCCCCATCTATCGCGTGGAGGAGGCAGCGGGTGGACAAGTGACTGTGACTCTTGAAACTGATGAAGGCAAACCAGGTACAACAACAATAGCAATCTTTACTGATTTTGGTTTGATTTTATTGAAATTATAACAATACAATACACGTGGGACACAGGCAGCTGTTGCTGGTGTTGTGTCCCACACATAGAAACAAGGACAAGACAATACCCATTTTCACTTAAGTGAAGATGTTTTGATGTTTTATTAGATATCCATTAGATTAGATATCAAATCTAATCTATTCTTCGTGGATTCATAAAACACAGAGTACACAAATGTAATAACAAATTAAGGCACATAACATAACATAACATAACATAACATAACATAACATAACATAACATAACACTTGCATCCATTAGACTACAACTAGCATAAAACTACAGAGAAATAAACAATTACAACTGCAAAGCAACAAAGGAATGTCGTGTTAAGTGCCTTTATCAAGAGCACTAGGTCGGTGGCATGTCAGGACTCAAACCCGGGACCTCTTGGTTCCGAGTCGAGCAGTTACGCCACGCGACCCCTCTGCTAGATGATCACACTTCCTTTTGCACTGCCTTTGCCACAGTATTGTTGTATTGTCGTATCCTGTTGTTTCAACCCTCAAATCGTTTATGTAAGATGTAAATATTGGCCAATGAATGCAGTGGAAAATTAATGAAATACATTTTAGTAATTAGTCAGTGTCCTCACTTTCAGAGACCGACCAAAACAGATTATTTCAAACTGTTGCCACAATTTCTCCATCCTTTTATCATTTAGAAGATCACTTAAAGACTACGTTTCTACTAAGATCACGAAATCCACGTATCATGTAGAACGTGGGACTGCCTTCAAAGAAGAAGTCAAAACTCATAATAGTAAGCGTAGTAGTAGAAGTATAAGTATTTTTTTACTGTCACAGTAGTTGAATGTATGTTTCCTATTATTATACTGATGATCTTTGACTATGTACAAGCAATTAGCCTTCGGGTATGACTTTTCAAATAAAGAATTATTATGTATTTGTCAAACTTTCTTTTCTAATCCAGAGGAGAAGCCTCCAAACACCACGACAGGAACACCTGGTATCGCCGCTCAGAATGACATGGCCCCGCAAGGTAGTTTTTAGTTTAGTTTATTTACTTAAGACTTCGCTATGTCTATGTTAAAGTGGCACTATGTAACATTTTTGCACCAAACCCCTTAGTATGGTATTTACAAAATATTTGTGGTACCTCCATAAACTAACAGAATGTAAACAAACATGGCTGACAGCTGCGTCTGAAGCTTTCAAACACACCAGTAAGACGCCATATGTTGCCACCTCCACTTCCTGAATGACACTTTCAATGGAGTAGGGTTGATTTAATTTACCTTTTAAAGAAATGTACTTTTATTTTTTTTCCTAATGTTACATAATGAAGCTGTAAGCGGTAGCTTCACTATTCTGCACCATAAAAGGGAGAATTAAAAAAAACATTATTGTCGATTAGAATTGAATTTTGGCACCTTCTCAATATTGCATGAAGAACATAGCAAGATCTACATTAACATCAAAAGTGGCTTCTACAATCCTGTAGCTCACCCAGAAACACGTACATTGTACATCCACTCTCTTTCTTCAAAAAGCTATCCTGTGCCTGTGTCGGAGAGGATTTGTAAACCAAAATGATCCCTTTAATACTTCCCCACTATTCCCTACCTTGAGAAAACAATTTTACTACCAAAGTAAAAAAAAAAAATCCACATATTATAGACGAAGTGGGTACGTTCGTCTCCCAATACCTCAAAAGAAGAAGTCGAACCTAGCAAATCTAGTACCGCGTATGTTGCAGAATGTAGTATTATGTTATAAGTACATGTAGTCTATTATATCAATGTATTTTCTTTTTTCATACATGCTGTCTAAATCTGTACCTGCATTTAGCCCTCGGGTATGTATTTGCAATGTACATAATGAACTTAATATCATTAGAATTGCCATGCTATCATTGGTTGAACTGATAATCTTATTTCCTCATGTAGCACGGCAGGAGTCTGGTGGCTCAATGTCTTGCGTTCCCGTGACGTGCATGGGCCCCATCTGCACACAGTGTCTCATCCTTGGCGAGTCCTGTGAGTACTACAGTCTGTGCCACAGAGGCACCTGCGAAACCCAGCACGTCATGGACGCCATCCAGGAGTGTTGCCCCATCTGTTGTTCGAGTTATGGCTATTACTAAACCAAGGCCCATCTCATTTTGCTGCAGAACACCAAAATGTTGCCGAGCAAGTTGTAATTTTTGTTTAAATCATCACTAATTAACTAGCCTGCAGGGATGCCAGACCCCGGCATGCACAACACAACACTCCCTTCGGCTGGGGAAAGCCACAAGCCCCGAACCTAGAGTTATAGCACCTCGGGGTCTAATTTGTTGCTCAGAGTCCAACGATCTAAGGGGGTGTCTAGGTAAAATTTTCGGAGCCGATGAACTAGCCTATAGATTACCCATGTAACCATCTGGTACTTAGGCTACCAACTCACTGATTTTGAGATATTATTCATTCATTCAATTTCAAAGTCACTGCCAATGGCGCTACAGCTTTCTAGCTGACAATTAAAATGGTGGTCCTCATTTCGGCATTGACATTCATTATAATTTGACCTGCCATAGATCAGAGAAGAACCTGGATTGTGGTTATTTCGTCAATGACTAAAATTAGAACGTAATTTAACTTGCCCACCATGTCAAATCGCCAAGCTTTAACCGTGCTGAATTAAAAGCATTGAAATTTTATATTACTGTGTCGTTTCGTTTTTCAAGTGTTTATAAGTTTTGAGATATAAGGTAGAAGGTTTTATACACTATAGTTTTTCCTCAGCTCAAGTTTACTAGCACAACATAAAGAAACAAGATGAAATCAGGTTTGCTGTTCTTTGAGTAAACTAGCACGTGTGCAAACCACTTCGACCTTCAGTCAACCAGTGCGCAACAAAAAACACTGAAGAACCGTAAAAGCCGCGTTGAAGCTACGTTTGACCCCAAATTGATATCTCGGGGATGTTAACAACATAGAAGTATGGATCTATTTTAAAGACTACTTTAAGGGGGGGGGGTCGGCAGCATGTGGCTGTACGAAACAAATTCTGGGAACTTTTGGTTAAAATAACCCCTGGATATTATGTGTGATACTTTTTAATCAGAAAAATAAAAAACAAGCGGGCAAATCCAATTCATATGAGACGAGTGATGAGCCATGGTTCTGAACCTAAATTACGCATCACTGCTGAATCTAGATAAATACAAACAATGCACGTTGCGTAATTGGTGATCTATCAATTACGAGAATCTATTCGTAGAGTAAAATAGTTTACAATTGCCCTTGTCATATCTGTTTACAATTGCTCGTGCCATATCTGTAATCTTACATATTTGTTGTGTAATTTTTAATATTTTTGGTATGAAATTTAACGCCCTTTGGCGCTGCCATAAAGGATGTAAGATCAATTAATAAACTAATGTTACTAGCGTTTTTAGTCGCATTACATAAAAGAATGACAGAAACAGTTTACGTCCAAAACAAATTTAATTCGTCCCTGAAAACTACATACAAGGTTATAAATACGTCTTCCTGTTTCTTTACTGAGTTTTTTTCTGTGTCAAAACATTTTAGTTAACTTTTACAACATATTTGAGTCAACTTTCGCAATATCCCCAATATAATTAACCCTAAAGTAGATCATTCGTAAAAACAATTATTCATGATCTTCTGACATGTTCACAACAGGATACATGTTTTCATCTTTATTCCTGACAAAATAGGTTTGGTAGGTAGGGATTCTTGTTTCTTCTTTTTGTTTCGATTTTGGCTGAAGTCATACAATAAATATAGTTAAATGATGTAAAAGAAATAAAATGCATCAGGATTAGGGCTGTCTTCAGAACCTATCCCTCCGTTCACCTGAGGGTAACGAACAAATATTTCTAACCAATTTAGTCAATGAAGTTTTGGTTTTGAATATGAGGGAAATAATCTTTCAAAGGATTAAAATTGAGATGTTTTCGGACCTAGTGCCAGCAGTTGACCCAGCAATAACCTGTTGTCGATGGTTTTTTTGCAAAAGCCCAAAAGGTTGGGAAACAGTAAGCACAGCTTCTTCTAGCTATATAGTCACCTAGTCTCCAATTCTTAGAATGGTAATGTGGTCGTGTGGTATTGAATAGTATTTGCACAACATAATCTTATGCGTTTTCTTAGTTCCTTAGCAACTGAGCATTGTACTGTATCATAATATAAGTGTTTAAATTGTGCGTGATCGTAATATATCTTTTTGGGACATTACTTTCAATTTTCACATATTGATTGACTAACCGAGTGAAAATACCATTACGAGTAGTGCCATACATACAAAAGTGCCATGTTCAGAGAGTATTATAAGTGCAAAGTGTGCATGATTCTAAGGTATCTTTGTTTTGGACAATAGACATTACGAATAATTTATATGTATGGATTGACAAGGATTTGACTTTGTTAAAATACTTACATCAAATGTGCAAAGTACTGACCATCGATGCACGGCAAAACGGAATTGAACCTCCTTCCTTAAGTACAATACTTGGAACAAATAGATAACATAAACAGAATACATGACCTACATACAATACATAAGATAAAAACAATAATATATAAATACAATTACTGCAGCCACAGAGCTACAAAGACGGGAAAGCAGGCAAACTTCAATATTAATGTCTAGACATCAATTACATTTGTGTTACCATGACAACATATACATTTTTTAAGGTATCGTCTTATCTGACAAAAATACAGACTCCATGCAAAAGAAGATTCTCGTTTGGGCTATCCTTCACAACTTTTTGAGATTATTAACGCTACTACAATTAATGAATTTCCTCTGTGTACGGAACTATTGTTTGGGTGGTCAAGTTTTTTTTTTGTTCTATCTGGTGGGTGGGTGGGTGGGAGGTGATTTGACAGATGATAGATAGGAAGGTCACGCCCGAGGGTGACCCAACACGCGCTAGGTTAGAGTCAGTGGGCTGAGTATGTAGAATTTCTGAAAAGTGTTGTCATATCCGATTAGATTGCATCACAAAAAGTCCTTTATATTTCCATAATATTCGCAGAGAACACTTCCTGAAAGTCTGAAATTCAGATTTTTTTGTTACTGCTTTTCCAGAAAATCTCCAAGCATTCTAGAGTCCAGAATGCTTACGAATGTTATTTTTGTTGTATCTACACATTGAACTACTATATATCACAGAATATACCTCTTTCCAATTTCTGTACATTAAATTACTATCAACAAATATACCTCTTCTACTTCTGTACGTTGAACTTCTTTCACAAAATATTACCTCTTTCCAATATTTTAACGTTGACCTACGATCACAAAATATACCTCTTTCCAATTATTGTACATTAAATCACTATCGCACATTATACCTCTTTCCAATATTTGTACGTAGAACTACTATCGCAAAATATATCTCTTTACAATGTCTAAACATTGAACTACTATCACAAAATACACCTCTTTTCATATGTCTGTGCAAAAGCGTATTCTCATTCTGATTTTCCAGTATATGGCAGATTGGGAAATTGCTGGCAAGGCGGCCTTTTGATTAGTGTTGTTGATTCATGATCTAAAGGTTCTGAGTTTGAACGCTGTTCCAAAGTTTTGAACGCTGAACGAAAGTTCTAAATGCTGTGCCATTGGTAAAGGCACTTTACACATATGTTCTTATTCTACTCAGGGGAAAATGAGTACCTAACTTTGGTTAGGGACGTCCATCGGTTGGGACGTAATTAATACAGAGGTTCAGTGCTTAAGGCGAGCCACTTATTAAGTGTGTGAGATACTATACAGACTATTGGTCTGTGAAAGTGATGACCATATTTGGTTGGATGTGTGTCAATGAGAAATATGACCATTTTGGGCTAAACATGATCATCTACCGAAACAGCCTTGTGAATCTGTTCCAGATATCTCTGTATCCTTGCTTGAATCTCGTGTTCATGAACCCATAGATGATCGGATTCATGGCGCCGTTACCGGCCCACAGAAGCATTCCTACCAGGAAGGCCTCCTCGGGAACACGGTCGCCGTTCTCCGCCAAGGCCATGACCGTCATGGGCAGGTTACACAAGGCGTAGTTGATGAAGACGGCCACCATCATCTTCAGCATCTCTTTCTCCGCCGGCGATAGATGGAGTCGTCGTGGCTTCTTTCGTCTCCCTGCGATGTTGCCCTCAGCTCTGTTGAAGCTCGAACGGGACACGGACACCGTCGTGGAGAGGTCGTGTACCGTCGTGTTGGGGAGGTTGCTGTCTGTCGTGGTCAAGTCGCTGTCACCCTCTTCGTGGATGTACGCTCGTCTTCTTCCGATCTTCTTCCGTGCTTTCTTCCCACTGCTCTCAGGCTCCAGTACCAGTTGTCGTCTGGATGGTGACAACGACTCCTTGACTGCTCTTTTCCCTCCTTCAGGTGGTAATGATGGGATCTTGTAGCCGCGGGCGGGCAAGCTGATGCGAGTCGTGTTGTCCTTAGATCTTGATGCAGGACTCGCCTGTGGCTGGTCAGCTTTATCCAGTTCTGATGAATCTCCGCTGTCCAGTTCACTCCAGCTGCACCTGGTGTAGATCATGGTGAAGTGTTCGGGCATCCCTGGCAAATTCTCGATGTCGTCTTCCGTCACACTCGAGCTCGTGGTTGCAGCCACCGGTTGTCGATCGGGTGGTGAAAATGCCTTCTTGAATGCTCTTTTCCCTCCTTCTAGTGATGATGATTGGATCTTGTCGCCGCCGATGGTAGATGCGGGCAGGCTGATGTTGGTTATGTTGTCTTCAGCACTTGGTGCAGCACTTGTCTGTGGCTGGTCAGCTTCGGAAGGCTCCCCGCTATCCTGTTGAGTCTTGGTCCAGCTACATTTGGTCTTGATGATGGCGGAGTGTTCGGGCACCCCTGGCAGATTCTCGATGTCATCTCTCGAGCTCGGGGTCACAACCATGCTTCCTATTCGTAAGCTGCCTTCCTCTTCAAGCACGATGGACACCCGGTGACTTGTGCTTCCTTCTTGAGGGACCGACGAAGTCTTGATCCGGCTTTTTGGTGCCGCCACCTTGTGCTCGGGCACCCCTGGTAGATTCGCGATGTCGTCCTTCACCGTACTTGGGGTCTGGGTTACCTCCATGCCTCCTCTTCCTGAGCTGTCTGACATGTGGCTTGTGCTTCCTCCTTGAGTTGTCGAAGACTTGATCGTGACTTTCGGAGCCTCTAGTAGGTTATGCCCAAGCATGGTCTTCTTGCTCTTTCTCAGTGATAGCCAGATTGCAATGTAGCAAGCCAGGGCCACAAAATACGGGCAGATGACGGGCAGCCCTGCGATGGCCTTAGCCAGTGTGCTGCTTGTCTGAACCACCGCGCAGTGTTTGATCTTGTCATCGTACTTGACGTCCCGTGCAGGATTAAGATGGATCAGGATGAAGGAGAGAAACGGTACCAGCCAGGCCAGGGTGACCTTGATGCAGATGGCCTTTGTGGAGATCATGGCGGGGAAACGGTACCGGTAGAGGACTCGGAAGAACCGGTACACGGCGATGCACCTGTAACGGGCAGAACATGCGTACAAAGCCATTAGGACCACAAATCTGCAGAAACACAGACACACAGATGACCCCAAAACAATGCTTCCAATTTTAATGGTAGAGGATATTGTTGTTTGTTAATATCTTAGAGAAAACACCAAGCAACTGGCAAATGAATAAACTTGACTTGACTTGACTGGCATAATGACCGTTATAATCAGTTCGTGGAAAGTGAAGTCAAGACGAAAAATCGTCCTTGTTGTCTTTCTATCAATAGCTGTTTGTTACAGTACATGTTTCATTTTTCATGTTATGTCTGAATGCAACCATTTAGTACTTTGCGTAGCTGTACGGATCCCTGATTTGTAGTTCAGTAGCTCTATCATCATTGTCTTTGAATGACAGAACAAGAACACAGCATCCAGCGGTCGAAACGTATACGTGTCTTGTATACTTTTAGAGCAGGTTTTGCATACCCCATGTGGCACAGACACACTCCCCACAGTACCGGAGTGGTGTAGGACTGCAGGACACACAGACCCCACGGCAGCCGGAACTCGGGCTTCAGCAGGGCGACGATCCACATGGGAGGGTGTAAGGCGGTGAACAGGAGGTCGGAGACGCTGAGGCTCGCCAGGGGGATGTTGTCACGCTTGCGGAGACTGGGGCACAGGAAGACCGCCAGGATGACCAGTAGATTCCCGATGATACTGACAGCAATAATAGCTGTAGGACAAAACATAAGCCGCATGTTTATATATATTCGGTACCATATTAAGAAATATCTACGCCTATGGGTAGAACTAACTGGACCAATCAGGGCTGAGGAAGAACAAAAGATGCATAGTAATGAGAGACTGACATCTGGATAAAAAGTAGAGCCTAAACGGGCCTAGCGAATGATGTCAAGGCGTTAAAGACCCGTTAATCAATTATGAAATACGGATGATTAGCAGCATTGTGGTGATAAGAAAAGACCCTTAATGAGCAAATCACGCAAGCTACAAGTGTGCATGAATTGCATGCAAATAAGGTTCTGATTTGAATACGTTACGTTTTAGTGTGTCAAATGATGTCCATCTTTACTTTAAAATGCGGTAAGTATAAATTTTCTGGAAGTTACAATTATCCAATTATTGTATGTGTCTTTATTATGTAGGTTAGGTCTTTGACCGAAAGCTCGTCTGTGTTTGAGCAATCCATAATTGTAGAGTTTAAACTTTCTTCCAACACAAGAAAGGAACTTACTGTGAATTTTTGGTCGATCTTGTCAACCTTCGTCCAAATGTGAATTTTATTGGCTGATTTTATAGCACAAACATAGTATTTAATTAAGTAAAATTGTGACATCAATCGAATTGTCAACAATTTGAAGCAGTGAACTGTTGTCATAAGAAAAGAAAAGCCCTCCAACAATACTGTTAAAAAAACTAGAAAGTACCTTAGTAAGCACACTAGAAAAAGAAAGGGGCCAAGTATAGACCCATGCAGTGCACTCACGGAGATACCTACCAATTAGACAACTGGACGTCGATAACGACGTTTGATTTGTGAGGTGGCTAAATAACCAATTTATAAGGGGCCCTTCGATACCATTTTATGCAATACAAGACCAGTATGCTGTATTTGCAAAAAACAGTAGTAAGGTCTATTTATCTCTTCATGAAACGATTTCTTTTATGATATGAAGCGAGTCCTTCAAAACGTTTCTTTTCTCTATTAAACTTCCTGACTATGTACGTAATTGCCAGGCCGACATGTGGTTTCGGTGCCCTTTTAAAACTACGTCATAGTTAACACTACAAAGTACTCTTCATCTAGATTTCTATACCTGAAGGCAAGATTGACAGAGGCTTGCCCCAAAAGGACCGAGGTCTTCAAAGAAATGGCTGAAAGTTGTCTCGCTTTCATGTACATTGCATTTATAATAATGTAATGTACACAATGTAACGTGATTGATTATGGATAATGTACTTGCAGGTGCATAGCCTCTGGGCTGTTTTGTATACGTAAGACGTGCGCGTGTGAGGGCACATGAGAGAGCTTACATAACCAACCCAGATTTAAACGCTAAATGAAACGATATCTTTTTTACAAGCTCTGTTCCATATCCAGGTGGAAATCTTCGTTCTTGGTGACGCCCAGACTACCAAAAACCTTACTTGATCCTAACCCTAAGTCATTAAGGCATAGATGTGCACAGTTATCTTTATTTATATTTATACATGGGTTTTACCGTTATTTTCGATAAACGAATTCTAACCTGTTATACAGCCACGAACATTTATACACTTCCCAAGAATCGAGAGAAGGTCTTTACATTGCATACAACGTCAAAGAAAATATTCAGTTAACGATGTCGTCTTTTACGCGACGTGTCGACATTCGAATGAAGACGCTGTAAATAGATGGGCGCTGGAAAGAAAACATAACCTTTTTAACGTAGAGCATACAGTAATAATATTTGACAGGAATTTTAGTGCTGCTCATAAGGTGGTGATGTGGTCCTGTGCTTAGCGCGTTTGACTTCTAAAGGTCGTTTGAATTCTAGCAGGTCGCACAAATGTACTGTTGCCATCTCTCGATGCAGGTAAAATTGGTACCTAGCTGCGGTTATGGTCGTCCTTTTGAATGGGCGTGAAGCTGGAGTTCCCGTGTTTTAGAAGAGCCATACTTCAAACACGTTAGATATCTTATTTGGCTTGTGTTAGTTACGCCATAAGGCAACCAATGCCAGTTAACCAGTCATGTGAAATAAACAGAAGCTAGGATAGGAATTTAGGTGTATCTGTTGTGAAGTCAAATATTCCTAAATGTAATGTGTACAACTGATGGATCGGGAGAAAAATACTAGTAATAATTCCCCAGCTGTATGAAATAAGAAGTCAACATTCGTAGGTGAAACATTGGGCAACAGATGGTCTGGTATAAATTTTTACACCATATGATACGCGCCATTTTATTCGCGCAAAAGCGGGCCAATCCACTTACATGCTTAACAACGTATATAAGCAAATGTCATATGTTAACCTACTCACCGGCCATGAGGACTATAAAGGTGTACAGAAGCGCAGTGGAGACGGCCATCGTGACGGGAGAGTGGTTCTCCACAGCACGGACGGAGAATTCTGCAAGCTACGGTCCTATACCCATTTCATGTACTGCTGCATTTATCTAATCATGAACACTAGCCAATCACAGCCCTCCCAATTTGAGGGTATAGCTTTGAAAACGTTTTGTGTCTGGAAACGCCCACGTCAAGACCGGACATATGAAACCTGTCATTTTCACTAGACTATGATGAAATAGGAATAATTAGCAGCATTGTGATGGTAAGAATTGACCCTTAATAAGCAAAACATGCAAGCTATGCATGAACTGCAGTTCTTTATTGTTTGAAGCAACAATGTATCATACGTCACCAGAGGATGTTAACCTTTACGACTGAGGAATAAGGTGCTCATTTGCATAACTTATATCAGTTGATCCTATTCTCCACCCAAGGCGAGTCTTATCGTAACAAAAATGCTTATTAGATAAATTAGGTCCAAGTCAAAATTAAGCGAAATCAATGCTCCAAGTTCAAATTAAGTGAAACCGCATTAACACTCTGATTTTCATCAACTTGAAGCAGTGAATTGTCTTCAGCAAAAAGAAAAGTCCTTCAACATTATCGGAGGACAAGTCCTTCCACAATACCGTTTAAATACACTAGGGGCCACGTATAGACCCCCGGAAAACACCACTTAAACCCCGGAAAACACCAATAACGCGACTGGTCGTCGATAACGACAATATGAAAACTACTTGTGAGATAGCTAAATAACCGATTTATAAGAGCACTTCAATACCATTTATTTGCGATTTGAATACAAGACCAGTATTCCGTAGCATGCAACGTTGTATGTTTCAAAAGCAGTAGTAGGATTAAACGAAAATTTTTATCTCAAACTCACCGAGACGATCTCTTTTATGAAGCGGGTTCTTCAAAAAGCTTGTTTTGTATCATATCCCCTTTTTCTATTACGTTTCATCATTATGAACGTAATTACCAGGCCGAGATGGTTTCGGCGCCATTTTGAAAGTACGTCATAGTTAACACCACAAAGTACTCTTCATCTAGATTTCCGATTCGTAAGAGCCCTGCGATTTGAATACAAGTCATGTATTTCGTAGCATGCAACGTAGTTTGGCGTTGTATATTTCAAAAGCAGTAGTAAAACTAAACGAACATTTTTATCTCAAACTCACCGAGGCAATTTCTTTTATGAAGAGAGTTCTTCAAAAAGCTTGTTTATCCCTTTTCTCATTTACGTTTCCTGACTATGAATGTAATTGCCAGGCCGACATGTGGTTTCGGTGCCCTTTTGAAAGTACGTCATAGTTAATACTACAAAGTACTCTTCATCTAAATCATTATAGCTGAAGGCAAGAATACATTGACACAGGATGTTCCTATATGGCTTAAAGTTGTATTGCTTTCATGTACATTGCATTTATAATCATACAATACAATGCAACGTGCTTGATTATGGATAATGTTATTACAGATGCATGGATTCTGGCCTGTTTTGTAAGACGTGAGAGAGCTTACATAACTGCCAAAGCGACAAACACGACCAACCTAGATTTACACGCTAAGTGAAACAATATCTTTTATCCAGAGTCTTTTATCCATGCTCTATTCAAAGCGGACCAATCCACTTACATAACATCTAACATATTAAGGTACTCACCGACCATGACGACTATAAATGTGTACAGAAGCGCAGTAGAGACGCCCATCGTGACGGGAGAGTACAGACGGAGTACAGACGGAGTACAGACGGAGAATTCTGGAAGCTTTGGTCCTGGGCCAGACTCACTGCTGCATTACTATACTTATGAACAACAGCCAATCACAGCCCTTCCAATGAGAGGCTATTGAGCCTGTCCAATGAGAGGCTTCGAAAACGCTTTGTGCCTGGAACCGCCCACGTCAATCCTGGACATCCAAAAGCTATATTTTTCACTTGTCAATGATGAAATAGGAATAATTAGCAGCATTGTGATGGTAAGAATTGACCCTTGATAAGCAAAACATGCAAGCTATGCATGAACTGCAGTTCTTTATTGTTTGAAGCAACAATGTATCATACGTCACCAGAGGATGTTAACCTTTACGACTGAGGAATTGTTCCCATGGATTACGCAGATTCTAATTTGAATACTTTATGAGTATTGATTTTTATGAGTATTTGAATACTTTTGATGAGGTTCATCTTCACTTTTAAAGGTGGTAAGTATAACATTTCGAATAAAGGATGTAACCATTATGGAATGATTGCATTTTGTCACTAATTCTACAGATTGGAATTCATTGGAAGTCTTCGCATGTAAACATGTTTGCAGAATCCATAGTTGTAGAGTTGTTAAGTTGACGAAGGTTGACGAGATCGACTGAAAACTTAAGATTAGTTCTTTTTTTTCTTTATTAAAACATTTAGAAGCTAAGTGGACAGGATGACGACACACTCAAGCCGAAGCTTATGTTCATGTCGCCATCTGACATTACAAAAATACAAAAGCAAATGCAAAAACAGACATGCAAAGCTTAATAATAACAGAATAGAATAAGTAAGGTTACAATGTGTAAAGTACTCCAGGCAAAACTTACAAAATTGATAGGAAAGAATTACTCAAATCTTTTAGTTTCCTTTATAAATGATTGAACATAAAGTAAAAATTAGTTTTTTGAAAGATAAAAGCTGGGAACGTAGCAGATAAAAAACAATTTCCTCGTTATTGGTGCAAATTCGATCATCATTTGCGTAATCATTATCTAATAATGTCAAACATCACTTCAGCTATATAACCTCTTGTAAGGTTCTCCAAAGCCATCAAAATAGAAACTTCCGCTGCAGTACCATATCAAGCCTCCATGTGGCCCAAAATCTAAGACCTACCCACGTACCAAGTTTCAAGATAATTCTCTCAGTTTTTTCCAAACTAGAGTTATCGTGTCCCTCCATACATGAATGTAATTGTGTTTTAAACCAGACAAAAGTGGGACTTGATTTGATGTGACATAAACACAAACCTAGTTAAATTTAACTTTTAGTTGGTATGTGTCGACGACTGCATAAAATAATGACAAAACAGTTTACGCTCGAGACACGTTTTATTCGTCCAAAACACAACATACAAGATATAAGTACGCCTTTGGGTTTGTTCGCAAACTCGTCTCACAAGCAAGACATTAAGTTAATATTCACACCCATAGCACTAACGGTACTGAATAATTTCTAGAAACAATCCATGATATTTTAACTTTTCCACAACAGGATACATATTCCATACTCATCAAATCTCCATTTAAGTGACTAGACATGAGATAAATCTGTACCACTATGACAAAATATACCTCTTTTATTAAGGTATCGTCATATCTGACAAAAACACAAACTCCATACAAAACGTACATTCTCCTTCTGACTATCCCTCACAACTTTTGTAATTATTACAATTACACTATTGCAATTAAGTGGCAGTAATTAATTACCTCCTTGTAGGAAACTACTGTTTGGCTGGCCAAGTTTTGTTTTTTGTTCTGTCTGGTGGGTGGGTGGGAGGTGATTTGACAGATGGTAGATAGGAAGGTCACGCCCGAATGTGACCCAGCACGCGCCCATTGAGAGTCAGTGCGTTGTATATGTAGAAATCTTGAAGTTGTGTAATACCCGATTAGATTACATCATAAGAATACTTTCATATTTCCATTATATTCACCGAAACACTTTCTGAAAGTCTAAAATCCATATTTGACCTTTACTGCTTTTTCCAGAAAATCTCCAATAGAGTACAGAATGCTTAGAAAGTAATTTTTGTCATTTCTTCATATTGAACTATTATATATCACAGAATATACGTCTTTCCAATGTCTGTATATTAATTACTATTAACAAAATTAATATACCTTTTTCCAATTTCTGTACGTTGAACTACTATCACAAAATATAACTCTCCAATTTCTGTACGTTGAACTACTATCACAAAATATAACTCTTTCCAATTTTTGTACGTTGAACTACTATCACAAAATATACCTCTTTCCAATTTCTGTACGTTGAACTACTACTCACAAAATATACCTCTTTCCAATTTTTGTACGTTGAACTACTATCACAAAATACAACTCTTTCCAATTTTTGTACGTTGAACTACTATCACAAAATATACCTCTTTCCAATTTCTGTACGTTGAACTACTATCACAAAATATACCTCTTTCCAATTTTTGTACGTTGAACCACTATCACAAAATATTCCTCTTTCCAATTTTTGTACGTTGAACTATTACATCTATCACAAAATGTACCTCTTTCCAATGTCTGTACATCGAACTACTATCACACATTATACCTCTTTCTAATGTCTGAACTTTGAACTACTATCACAAATATCTTTCCAATGTCTAAACATTGAACTACTATCACAAATACACATCTTTTTATATGTCGGTGCTAAAGCAGATTCTCATTCTGATTTCCAGTGTATGGCGCATGGCAGAATGAGAAATTGGTGGCAAGGCGGCCTTGTGATTAAAGATGTTGATTCATAATCTAAAGTTCTGAGTTTGAAGCCCTACAGGGCCGTAAATGCTGTGCCCTTCATATTATACTCGGGTTAACATGAGTACCTAGCTTTGGTTAGGAACGTCTCTCGGCCTCAGATGGGACAAAATTAAGATAGAGGCTTAGTGGTTAGGGAGAGCTAGACAACACTCACTGAAACATGTGAGTGGATAAAACCTTATAATCTGGTCTTACGCATCTTGTAGGTATTGTACAAAACTAGGCATGTTACGGTATATATA